CATTTTGCAGCAATTTTGCTTAATGACAAGGGTGGCCATGAGTGGGTGTGTGGTAAAAGTGATCTATTGGATACAGGTGGGAAAGGCCTGCGTGGGCCTGCACTCAAAAATAACAACCAAAAATTAACCATTATAACAGTTCAAGCAAAAGTACATTTAGTCTAAAGAGAAAATGGAATGATGATAATTATAGTGTTTTTTCCCTAATGCACAATGTCATTCGATGACATAGCAAACTCCTCTATAAACATAGGCTAGATAAATATAATACTGAATACATAACATATATAATACAGAATACATAACACATAATACATAATGTAATATATTGTAATATACAATATAATATCTAAATGCTTAAATATATGATATGTATCTAACATATTATATTTGTATCTAATAGTTTCTTTATGAGATATAAAAAATATATAATATTACATACATATAAATTTAATATAGTTGATATATATAAAATATAATACATAAAATACATATATTTTTTTGTTGAGAGAGACACCAAAAGTGTCTGGAGTGGAGCCAGCCCTGTCCCTGCTGCTGCAGCAGAGTCTTCTGGGCGGGGGTCATTGAACCCCACCTTTGGCTCCTTGTTTTTGCTCTGCAGCCCTGCCACATCCTCTGTTCATTTGTTACTTGGATCCCAGCTTTTCCAGGACCCAGGAGCTGTGGGATCAGTGCCAGCCTAAGCTGAGCCCAGCAGAGCCTCAGCCCAGAGACACCAGCTCTTCCTCTGACTTCTTGTCCCGACTTCAAGGAATTTTTCCCCTCAGTGAGTGTGAGGTGATGGCACGTGTGTGTGTGGTGTAGTTAATATTCAGCAGATTATCCGGGACGTTCTGGGCTCCTCTAGGATTGCCAGGAGCCTCGCTGGAGCACAGCACGCGCCTGTCACCGGCACGGCAGGAGAGTGAGGGCTGGCTGGCACTGAGACAGGAATCCCGGTGTGACTTCAGTAAGGATAAAGCTCAGCCTGATAAAACCAAGCCCCAGTTTGACAGATGGCCCTGAATCCACAGTCACTCAGCCCTGAGCTGGGGAGAAAGGCGGGAGCTGGGTAGGGAGCACATCCTGCCTTCCTCTTGACAGTCCCACACCAGGATGGACACAGCACTGGGCAGCGGGAGGACACCCTGGGCAGGGGTAGGGTCCAGATCCTGGTGGGGACATGGGGTTTGGGGTCATCCTTAGTGGTCTGGCACAGCATGGGGGCACCATCCCTGCTCTCCATCCACACAGGGAGGCGGAGGGTGACCAAGGCTGTACCACTTTGGCAAATCCAGGTAATTTCCACTTTCTACACATTTCTGTCATGCCACACTATGCCATGCCAAAGACTTGGCTCATCTCTTCACAGACCAAATTCTCCATTCCAACCCATTTGAAGGTCACTGTGCTGGGTATGGGCTTGGCCGCTGTCGGAGCCGCTGGGGCACGAGCCCACCCACAACAGCAAACAGTGAAGAGAGAAGGAGGAGGCTTCCATGGCTGCTGAACTGCCTGCAGGAAGACTAATTTCAATTATAACCCCCTTTTGGAAGGGACACATTTAAGTGGCAGAGAGGCTCCGTGCATGGCAGCAACTGGGAATTAACTCCCTGCATCCAACTGCCGTGAAATTGAATCCTGTCACTGCAGGCGGGAGCTGAACCCTGTGCAGGCTGGGGGGGTCCCTCACCCCCATCCTGCTGCTGGAGCCACCAGCCTGCAGGAGAGCCCCAGCTGCTCTGCCAGGTGAGGATGGGCAACACTTAGTGTTTCCCATCCCACTGAGCAGAGTTAGGAGTCAAAGCTGAGCGTTCACAGATACAGGCACTGGGAAAAACAGCTTATTTGTAAGAAAAGAGGCTTACAGATCCAGCTAATAACCTTGAAGTGTAATGAATGGAGATTCCTGACTGCCCTGAGAGCATTGGAGGGGATCACAGAGCATCTCAGGCACACAGTGGAATTCTTGGTGTGTCCTGTGCAGGGACGGGGGTGAGATTGATGATCCTTGTGGGTCTTTCTAACTCAGGATATTCTATGACTCGCCGACATGCAGCTCCTGCAAAGGTGTTATGTTCAGGGATGGGGAGCCTGGGGGGTCTCCAGCACTGGTACTCCCCACAGCAGGGACCAGGCATTGCACCTGAGCCTGCCCAGCTCGCCTGCGTTGCCGCTGAATGCTCCATCAGTGATGGATGTGACGCGCCAAAGGAAGCTCTACCAGCAGGAAAGCAGCTGACCCCGGCTCCATAAGCACTGCAGGACAGCTCTGGACAGACACTTTCAATCCTGAGTGATGAGCATCGTGCAGAGAAGGAGCTCTTACAGAGATTGCTCCTCTGAGGAAGGCTCTCCGCAGGCACATCCATTGGAAGAAAAGAGCACACTTCAATTACGCTAATTAGAAACTTGGCAGTCTTGTTGCTCAGGGCTTTTCCATCTGACGTGGAGACATTTCTCTTTGCCAGGGTCTGCCTTTCTCAGGGAGGGACAGCGTTGCCGGCTGCTGTGGGCACAGGGGTGCAGGGGGGTTATCCTCACATTCCTGGCTAATCCCAGCTCTGAGGTGCACTCACGTGAAGGATTCTGGCTGGCAGGCTCTGGGCCAGCCCTTCTTCAAGGGTCACATGCAGTCTCCACACTTCCCTCCCTGTGGGCTCCATCCCTCACAGGAGCAAAGGGCAAAGCTCTTGTGCTGAAAGGCAGCGAATGTGGCTAAAACACAGGGACAAAGGGAATGACTCCTGTCCTCCCACTCCAGGTTATAAACCACCGTGGTGCTGCACTCGGCTGACTCAGCCATCAGTTTTGTGTCTCCTGAACATTCTGGGGGGAGCAGGGAACAGGATCTCTGACCCCCATGCCATGCACGCTCCGTATTTACCATCGGCCGGCGCTGATGGATGGCTTGGTCTTGCCATCCGTGAGCTTTGCTCTCTGGCTGCTCCAAGGGCAAACAATTCTCTGGACTCAGCCTGAAACACTCCAGGCCAAGCATCGTTTTGTCCGGGTTTGTCATTAAAGGATGTGCACAGCCATTCCAAGTGACAGAGCAATTTCCTTTGTGTCCTGCAAAGCAAAAGGAAAAGAAAAAAGTCAGCGTATTACACACAAATCTGCTTTTCTTCTGCAAGCTGAAGTAGGAACAGCTTAATTTCCAGCAAACCCACTGCCGTACTAATTCCAAATCAAAGGCTTGGTGTCAAAGGAATCATTTTGCTACAGCCACAAATAATGAGCAATTTATGTTGTGTTTTGAGATTAGATTATAAATGAGCTGCAAACTGACTCCTCATCCAGAAGGAGTTGTAGGCTGGATTTCAGAGGCCAAAGGTGGTACAATGCTCCTGGCAGTGGGTGTCCTTCAGTGTGTTCCTCCTCCAGGTGCCACTGGTGTCCCTCCCCTTTAGGTGCCACCAGCTGGCTCTGGGTGAGCTGGGGATCCCATTACCTTGTGTTGCAGAGCTGTTTTGCTGTAGGAGGAAGCTGTGCTCCAATGCTCTTCCTGATAGCCCATCTGCCTTCACTCCTGATCCATGTCCTGCTTGGCATCGTACTGCCCCATATCCCATATTTTACGTCTATCTCATGGGACAGACACTCTCTGCCTCCCTGTCCCCCCATGCCAAAGGAGCAGCCTGTCCAGGTCACAGCATCCTGACATTCCCACCTCACTGAAATTTTTTCTGCATCAGGCTGCACCCCCATCCATGTGGGCAGCAGGTCCAGTTCTGCCCCTCTGCTCTGCTCAGGTGAGATCCTCCTGCAGTGCTGCTTCCAGCTCTGTAATCCCCATCACAGGAAGGATATGGAGCTGCTGGAGTGAGTCCAGAGTAGGCCACAGAGATGCTCCAAAGGCTGGAGCCCCTCTGGTCTGAAAACAGGCTGGGGGAGCTGGAGATGTTCAACCTGGAGAAGAGAAGGCTCCAGGGAGACCTTAGAGCCCCTTTCAGTGGCTAAAAGGGCTCCAAGGAAGCTGGAGAGGGACTTTGGACAAGGGTCTGGGTGACAGGACAAGGGACAATGGCTTCCCACTGATAAAGGACAGGGTTAGATGAGATATTGGGAAGAAATTCTTCCCTGTGAGGGTGATGAGGCCCTGACAGGGGTTGTCCAGAGAAGCTGTGGCTGCCTCATCCCTGGAAGTGTTCCAGGCCAGGTTGGATGGGGCTTGGAGTAACCTGGGCTACAGGAAGGTTTCCCAACCCATAGCAGGGGGTGGAACAAGATGATATTTAAGCTTTCTTTCCAACCCAAACCATTCCAAGAACCTATGGTTCTGTGAAATCCCTCTGGAGAGCAAGATTCACTGCAAAGAGAAAAGCACTTGCCTTTTGGTTCCAGAAATAGCAGAATCGTTAGAAAGACCGATTTTAAACTAATTAGAGGTAATTTCTTCATTTGCTGCCTTCTTGCATGAGTCACACATTGCAAGAGGGACACCTGGAAGCACAGGGAATGTCACTCTGAGCGGAGCTGCCTCCCTCCAGGCTGCCGGCCCTGCGGAGCCGCTGGGACAGAAGGATTGCTGGGAATTGCTGACGGGCTGCCAAGCAAAGTGCTGATGTGAGCCCTCAGCCCCAGGCTCCGCATCCATCGCTGACAAGGGAAATGCTGCTTGCTGCAAGGCTTCACTTTAAATTAGACATGAATGTGAAGAACCCGAGAGGAAAAACAAAATGCTGAATAGTGACCAATTGGCCTTTCAAGCCCCCGCTGCCCGTGGCCACCTTGGAGGGGCCAGCGAGGTTGTGCAAACTGGTGCAAATTTCACAGTCTAGCAGATGACTTAGAAATCCCTGATGGAAAGGAGAAGTTTGCACATGGACCTGTATCATTTTGCCCCAAACCTGTGACCAGTGAGTAAATTTGGATCTCTTCTAGGCTGAGGCTGAGATATGAGCTTTTCACACATGCAGAGAGACAGGCTTGGCTCTGCACCACCTCCACAGACCCACTCCCACTGCAGGGAAAGGAATGACAAGAAGTGACCTGTGTGTCAAAGAAGCACATATTTTATTGTGTAAAAACCAAGCAGACATCAAATAGAGCCTCACACTGCCCCACCCGCTGCAGTGCTGCCTCGTGTCACTGGGATGTGCCCGGATGCCACAAACGGACAGGAACCATGGAAGCTCATATGGATCCATCTTCAAATACCAAAGGAATTATAAAAGCTTCAGAGCTCCCCTTTTACTGGTGTCACACCAAGACAGAACAGTATGACCCTTGGCCATTGGGATGATTTTTGAGTAGTGCTGTGTGGAATGAGACACCTGAGCTGCACCTCTGGGTTAAAAAGACGGGGTTTGGTGTTACTCCAGTTCTTCTCAGTGTGGCCTTTCCCTGGCCATGGCACGTCCTCAGCATCTGTGGCAGCCGCTGGGTTTTAATTAAAGCACCAACTCCTGAGTCAAACAACTGCAGGAGAACAGGAAAGTCTCTTGTCCCCACGGCTGGCCCTGAGCAAAGCTGAGGTGCTGGGAAACGGGGCAGGAGCATAAGGAAACCACAGTATGTCCAAAACCAAAAAAGTTCGTAAAACCATCCCATGACTTTCAGGGAGCCCTTTGCAGTCGCTGCTCACATGAGGTGTATCCTACCAGGAGCAGGGAAGCTGTCTGCCCGACGTGGCTCCTCGTCGCTGCGGCTTTGGGGTTCGGCTGCTGCACTTTATCAAAACAAATTCTGGAGAAAGTGGGACGTTGCATTATGCAAATCAGCTTCCTGGAAAGAAATGTTTTATTAACACACGCTCTCTTCGTGTGTTGGCTTAGTCAATTTGGTCACAGCTTGACATCCAATAAGTTAGTCTAAAGGCAATGGTTTTACAAAATGTTTTTCTAATCTATTTTAAACACTTAATTACAGTTGTGGCGCATTCATTAGGGACTTCACTTTCAAATCTGGATTGCAGCAATAAATCCTAATTCTCCAAGTGTCAGCTGCAATACAGAAATGGCATCCAAGTGGGTGTCAGAGGCTGTTGATAACTGGTATGTCTGCACCAGGCATGAGCCTGGTCCTCTGGAGAGGGAACCTCCAGCATCCAGCCCAACCTGATTTCTAATTATCCAAACAAGGTTGGGTCCCAGAGAAGTGAGGGCTTGTGGAGCTTGGGGGTGTGTGTCTGGGTAGTGTGGAAGCTGGGGGATGCTAATTTTGGAAAGCCCCTGTGGATTCAGGGGTGGTGCTGTGGCCAGCTCTTGAGGCTGTCTCTGGCTCTGGCAGTATCCCCATTGCCCTCCCCCTTGCAGCTCTGAAGGTGCCAAAGAGTGGGCAAGGGGTGGCCAGTCCCAGTGCCACACACCCCATGGGACATCCTGGCAGCGAGGCTGAAGCCTCCCATGGCCTGGGATGCTTTGATATGCTGGGAGGAGCATTGGGACCCTGTCTCCACGCACTCCCCCACATTGGTGCAGACACTGAGGAGGGGCAGCAGCTTGGGGCCAACAGCCCAAACCTGTCCCCGCTGCCCTGAGCTAGTGCCAGGCAGTGGCTCAGCACAGTTACCTTAGTCTTTACCCAGGTACTTCTTCATGATGCTGCTGACATCGTCTTCCTTTCCTTCAGCCTCAGCGCGGTGGCTCGTCCCACTGCCCTGGGTGATGTCTTTGCCACTGGACCCCTCCCCATCCCCTCTCTGGGGCTGTGGCCGACGCTTGATGCTGTCGGCACTCCGGGAGGAGAGGAGGGAACCAGAGGATGAGGAGGAGTCAGAGGGATCTCCAGGGTCTTCCCGAGGGGCCGGGTTGCGTTTGGCTGTGCCCTTGGTCTCAGAGGACTCCAAACTTCCCCCTATGGCCTCATCCTCAAAGCGGACGGTGAGGGGTCGGTGGCCGTCCCTTCTGTCCCTCCTGGACTTGGCCAGGCTGCTCGTGGAGCGGGATTTGCGAATGGCCGGGAGGAAGTCGTCAAAGTCGACCTTGGTTCTCCTCTCGTAGTTGAGGGTGGGTATTCGCCAGCTGAAGGGGTCGCTCCCCTTCCCCTCTCCCAGCCCGTCACTGGACAATGAGCTCAGAACTCCCTCAGAGCCCCTTTCCAACTGCACATCCTCCAGCGACGGCTCCAGGCAGCTCCTCCAGGAGCTCGGCCGCAGCGTGCCCGGCCCCTCCATCCCGGCAGCTGGAGAGCTCGGCCGGCGGCCGGAGCTGTCCAGGGATTGCAGGAGGGAGTCGTAGGAGCCGAACTTGGATGCCCTTTTCAGAGCTGGGGAGCGTGAGGGCTCGGCCGGCTCCGAGGCCATGCTCCGCAGGCTGGAGGAGCGCGGGAGGCTGGCGCTTGCTCCTTCACCTTCCCCTGCCTGATTCCCATCTAGCTTGCCCAAGGCATCCTCCGCCGCTGGGACAGCCCTGCAGCGACGCAGGGCCGCGGCGCCGGTGGTGCGGTAAATGGGCAGGGGAGAGGTTTCCTCCAGGGCCGGGTGCCCCGGCTCCCGCTCCGCTCCCCGTTGCCGCCGCAGCTCCTCCACATACTCGGAGAGAGCTGCCGACGAGCTGGGCACCGGCCCCGATGCCACGGAGAGCCTCCTCCTCCTGGGTGCCGTCGGAGAGACCGCGCTGGGGAACCTTCTGTCCGGGGCAGGGGAGCTCCCCCGTTGCAGCACCGATGGGGACGTCTCTCCTATCCTATCCACAGACTTTTTCGGGCTTTCCTGCTCCTCGTCATCTGCTGCAGGTTTTCCATATTCCCGTCTTCTAGCCCCGAGCAGGGGACTTGCCATCCTCCCTGGATCCACAGCATCGCTGGGCCTGGCAGTGCTCCGGGAAGACACAGGAAGGCTCAGCACTGGGTCCTTGGCGTCTCTGCTCACCCTAAACAACAAAAATTGGTGTTAGTTTAGTCTGTGGGATTCCCAGTGACTGGAATGTCATTCAGCAAGGACAAGGCTGAGCAGCGAAAAGCCAGTATTGGCATGGGAGTCTCAGAATAAACTCACTGCTGCATCCAGCATTGGGCAGCGCTCAAGGATTTTATCTTAAATAACTCCAGGTCAGCCAGCCTGGATAATCCCCAGCGTAGAGTGTGTGGTGTGCCTGGCTTCAGCTCTGCCAAGCCAACACTTACCCCCAAATATCCTTTTCCTTGACAGATTATAGCAATATGTAGGATTTATTTTATTTCTGTCAAAGCCAAAGATTATTCACTAAAATTTTATGAAACCAGCTTGTGGTGCACCCCAGACGCATCTTAATGCTATTGCGGGGCATGTTTCACCCAGGCTGCTGCTCAAGGAGTTCTGAACTGCAAGAGCCCAGTAACACCTGGGCAGGGGCTGCACATCAAGCGAGGGGTGATGGCCAAATATGATGTGTGGGGCTGGGACCTCACCCTGAGACGAGTGCTGGACCTCAACCTGTGACAAGGGGTGAGACCTCAACCTGAGACAAGGGCTGAGACCTCACCCCAAGACAAGGGCTGATAAAGGAACCACGTGAAATCCACCTCCATTCACCCCTGAGGAGCCACACTGGTCACCCCACTTGAGTTTCTCTGTAGCCTGTCCCTGTCCTCATGCAGCTGATGCACAGAGATGGGGAGGTTCTGCAGTCACCCATGGGCTGGGGGTCACTGGTGACACTAAGCCCCTGATGGGACAATTTATGACACTCTCCAAGCACCTACCGCAGTGCCGTATCCCCACACTCAGGTACCCCAGCATTGCTCAGTCAAGGGGAACCCAGGACTGGCCTGAGTGGGAAGTCTGTTGGGATGTGAATTTGAGAAAAATAGGAGGAGGGAAAAAGAGAGAAAAGGCAAAGTAAGGTAGTAGAACCCAAATAACAAACCCAGCTCTGGGAGACCAGCAGCCTCCGAGGTGCGGGAGCAGCGGTCAAGTTGTACATCGCTGGTAATGAAGCATCCTGCCCCGGGAATGTTGGTGTTGCCATGGGAATGGGGGGAGAGTGAATAATCTAGGCAGTGCGTGGGATGCACTTGGACTAGGCTCTGCTGACCCATGAAATAATTTACATTCCAACATGGGCTGAAGACAAACTCCACGGCTGGGAAACGTGTGATGGCAGAAGGGAAGGGGGAATGGAGCAGCTCCAGGTTCCCGGTGCCCACTGGCACAGCCTGGGGCACCGAGGTGCCCACCTGCCCCGGCACCCACCACCATTCCCTGCTCATTAAACCAGCCCAAACCATTTGATTATTAAACATAAAATGGATTAACCAGGGATTTAATCCCCCTGAACACCTGCACCTTCCAGGGCCACCCCGCACCACTGAGGAATAGTTTGAGACATTTCGAAAATGCGGGTATTTAGGATCCTAAATTGCATCGCAGTTAAATAGCTGGTATAATCCTTCCATGAGAAATTGTACAAAAATTGTTCCAATCACTCTGCATGTTTCCAAATAATATTGTAACCTGTGTGCTGCATGAGCAGCTTTTGTAATTTAAACACCAGTATAAGTGTTTTTATTTGGGTTTTAAGGCTGAGATAAAAGAGAGAAGCGCTAATGTGCTGTGAACATGGACAGTTACACATCACTATTTATTGTCCTGTTCAGCATGATGGACAGTTACTATTTTTATGAAAATCTTTAGGGTCTGAAATGGAGTGAAAGCTGCAGAGGTGGGACTGTTTCAGCTTCCACATCTGGCATGAGACCGGCTGCCAAGACCCCACAGCCCTGGGGTCCAAGGAGGGGTGGAATGGGATGGTGTTCAAGGTTTGAACCCAAACCATTCTGTGATTCATTTCTTTAGCCCTGATGGCTACCAAAAAACATCGTGCCAAAATCATGCCTAGACTTCATTATCCTCATCCTCCTCACAAAGCAGGGCACAAGAGCGAAACAATCCTATCCCATTTTGTGGCATCCTCTGCTCATCCATAAAATCCCTGGTGAATGGCAGATGTGCCAGCAGTAATTCCCAGGGCTCGGAATGACCCTGGGGAGACCTGGGAAGTCCCGGAGGAGGGTGATGCTGCAGGACAATGAGACTGCTCCAGCCCTGAGCAGAGCCCTGCTCCTCCATCATCCTCAGGGAAGATGATTTTCCCAGGCAAAGGCAAAATCACGGCCGGATGCCGAACTCAGGAGGCGCCTGTAAGCCAACCAAGCTCTGCAATACACCATTCACACCAAAGCAAATGACATACAACAATAATTAGCAACGATTACAGAGCAATTAACATGATTACAATTATGTTAGTTGAAATAATTTATACAATAAAATCCACACATGCTTTGCAACACATGACCAGGGCTGAAAGCGTGGCTCAGCTGCTTTTCCTAGGAGCTCATAAATAAAGCCAAGACAACTCCATTTCAAGAGGGAAGAGCCACTGGCCTAATTTCTGTCAGAAAAGGATTTTCTTGTCACACCATCATCTACAGAAGAGCTCCCACTTTCCCATGTAATGATTTGCTTTTGACACAATCGTGCTTAAAAATAAATGTGTCGGATCCCCAGCAGCCTTGGGACGAGGATTCCTGGTTCTGTGAACTAAGGCGGGATGGGAAGAGATGCCAGGGTTATGTCAGGGTGATGCTGGGGTGATGCCAGGGCTGTGGATGCCACAGTGCCATGGGTGGAGAAGTAGAGCCCTGGGCTGTGGATTCACTCCCTGCCTGCATCTCCGGATAACCCCACTATTGCACCACAACCCTGACTTGCCTGGAAAGGGGCAGAATAAATACATAAAGATTTAAATTGGCTTTTTATTAAAAAAAAAATTATATTATTCCAACCTTGCACCGTGTCATATTTATGGAGGCTTAGGTCTGCTGGTCAGCACTCTGTACAAGCATTTAAAAAGCAGAGAATTAAAGGTTCTGTTAATCAAAGTTCTCCTTCCTGTAACCACATGGGCGGTAGCAGCCTCCACACTCTCCTCTGGCTCTTGGCAGCTGTTTGTTCAGCAAACACCCCAGATGTAGCGCTGAGCAGCCAACGAGAGCAAGGCTCATTTTTCATTACTGGGTGCTTGTGTAAGACAAAGGAATCTTAATAAGGAAGAGCTCGTTTCCCTGATCTCATTTTTATTACCTTACCAGTCTCGTCCTCTGTTTGTTTGCACTTCATACACCCTCGCTCCTATTTCCAACTTAGATTAGCTGAAGACAAACACAGCCCCCACACCAGGATTTGCAATGTGCCCCTTCACGACCCCCAGCACCGAGGATGATGGCCACACTGTGACCAGGGCTGAGAACAATTCACCTTTCACAACGGCCATAGGCAGCCCAGCCTATCACAGAATCCCAGAATCTCAGAATCATTCAGGTTGGAAAAGACCTCCAAGATCATCATTCTGTGATCTCCCTGCAGGTCCTTGCCCTGCCCAAATGCTCTTAAACTCTGCCTTGTACCGCTCCAAACTGCTCCAACTCACCCAAGGGGTTTCCTGCAGGGGGACTTGCTCTTCAGAACATTGATTCTGACAATAGTGATTCCCCTGTACAAGGCCTGTGGGTGCCGTGGGGACAGATCTCACCAGAATCAGAGCAGGGAGATTAATACTAACAAAATTGCACTCTGCAATCCTGACCACACTCTGTCAGCTTGGAGAATCTACCTACGGACCTGAACATGAGCAGGGAGCAGGTGGGAGCTGCAGTGAGCTGTGCCCAGCCTTAGCCTGGCACCTGCCCTGGTTATAGGGGCAAAACCTGGGAAAACAGTGATGCATGTCCCAGTACACCACCCCTGGGAAAGCAGTGCATCAGAGAGACCCTGAGCCAGGGGCTGCAGGCAGGAGTAGCTCCAACCTGCAGGCAGGGGCACTACAGGGGCTTCAAAGGGGGGCACTGCCAGGCCTGCCCGCCCTGAATTCAGATGGTTGGCACCTTTCCCACCTTCCCTACAGGGGGGTGATACTCTCAGGGATAATGCTTTCTGGATCCATACAAGCCCTGCTCTGCTCCCTGCCCCAGGGTTCAAAGCTCCATCCCTGCTCCACCTCTCCCCTCCCAAGCCTCCAAGTGGATAACACCCTCCTCCATCCCCTCCATCTCCCTCCATGACACAACCCCCAGACCCTGATTTACATGGCCTTTCAAAACAAAACTTGCGCAATTGCTTCACACATGAACCAAAAAGAACCAGTTTCTCTGTGACTCGGTGGTGCTGGGGATGGCTGTAAAATGGGGTTTGTGTGTGGGTAGGGGTGTTCCTCTGATGGGCACCAATTCGGGCTGGACACATGAGCACCTACTGAGCCCAGGCACCCCGAAGTGTCTCCCCTGGAGCCAAGTGGAGGAAGTTGGGCTGTGTGAGTGCTTGGGCCCCTCTCCAGCTCCCTCACAGCCTATGAACATCACCATCAAAAATTAACATATCTGATATTAGAACTGTAGAAACGCATCCCACTTCCTCAGTCAGTAACGGTGAGCATATGGCATACAAATCCTCAAATAGGCTGCATCGCCTCTTTAAATTATCTCCAGAGAATACATCAAGGGATGTTATACTGCTTGAAGCATGTTTTTGATGTAGTGACTTTCATCTGGTGTTTCACTGATCCTGGCGTGGCAGTGACTGCCTTCCTTGATTTGATGTTTTGACCTCAAACTCCACAGGTCCCGCCACAACCCCGAGCTCTGGTTCTGTACATCCTGAAGGAGCCCAGTGAAAGTGCATCTGCAACATCCCCCATGCACACAGGTCCCTTACCTCAGGCTCTGGGTGCTGCGGCTGCCGATGGACTGTGCCGAAATGCTCCCGGCCATGCTGGTACCTGCCAGGGATGTCCAGCCTGTGGATGAACTTGGCCAGGACTTGACGCTCTCTGCAGGTTCCAGACTGAGTGTGGAGCCAACGCTAGAGCAGGCATCCCTGTGGAGAGAGGAGAGACCCCATTAGATCCACAGGCACAGGTGGGAAGGCACCAGCTCAGAGGAGTGAGAGCATCCCACTGGGATAAGAGACAGAGCTCAAAGGGAAAGGGAGCGGGTCAATGGGCATGGGGCACACATCAGATATCCGGATGTCACTGTGACCCCTGCCCATGCAGGCTGCAACAGCCAGTGGTCTGTAACCCATCCCTGCAGCAGTCAGTAATCCATAACCCATGGTAGAAGCAGGCACAGGCTCCTGCCTGTCAGCAGCAGCTCCCCGGGCTCACTCACGTCTCTCTCCTGGACCATAGCGACTCCCGCGCTGTCTGAACACTGCAAGGGACAACAAGAGAACAATGGTTCAGGGGGCCTCCCCAAAGCCACCACACAAGGCTGAGAAGGGGAAAAAACTGACTGTATCAGAACTTGCTGCTCTGGCAGTTGGTATGACCGGAGCACAGGTTTGCATGAGCCAGCAAACACCCCCTAAACAGCCAGAGCAGCGGTGCCACAGAGACCAGGGCACAGCCAGAACGGCTGGAGAGCCCTCACTGTTCTCTGCATGGGTCGGCCCTGGCTGAGCCAGGACCCCAGGGCAAAGGGCAGAGAGCAGAACACTCCAACACATAACACACGGCTCCTCCTGCAGCAGCTGCCATTCCCGCCAGGAAGCATTTCTCACCTCCGGCTGGTGCATTGGCTGCATTGGAAATCACTTTTCTTTTGAGAAGGAGCGAGTGTCTGAGCTCACGGTTTCTATCTCACCCTTCCCTGGTTTAATCACTACACAGAGCAAATCTCCCTTCACGGCGTGCTGACAAGCACACCTCTGCTCTTTATTTTTTTAAACTCATTTATCTGTTTTGTCTCCATTTGTCACAATGCTTCTTTAGACATGTAGCAGAGGGGAAAATTGGAGGGCTGTAGAAATAACACCTGAAAAATGCACTGGAATTTTTTCCTCATTTTTTTGCTAGTGAAATCCTCTACCCAATCACCCAGTTCCATTGGCTCCTCTAGCTCTTGTGGCTCATAAAAGTAGGGCACCCATTACCGCATGGCACACTTCCAGGAATGGGACCCACACTGCAAATGGGCTTTTGCTCAGTTTAAGCTGGGCCACACAGATTGATTTCAATGGTGAAACCTTTTCATTAAACCTTCCATTAACACCAAGTCCTTTGTTCATACACGTTTGCTGCTGCAGCAAAAGCACATGAGGACAACGACATGCAGTTACAGCCACCCTGGCATTGCCCAGCACAGCATCCTTCCCCACCACACAGGAGCTGAGCCTGCTCCTCTGCAGCCCCCACAGCCCTCCCACAGCCTCCCACAAGCCCTCATTCCTCACCTCTCAGCATCGCTCTCGTTGCTGGACTGCAGCTCCTCCAGGGCCACCTGCAGGTCTGCGATGCGCCGGATGGAGGTGCCCAGATCAGCCTGCAGCACCTGCCGCACCTCTGCCAGCTCTGCCAGCTGCTGCTCCTGCACGGGTGGCAGTGGGTTAGTGCCTGCTCCCCGACACGGCACCCAAAACCACGAGCAGGGGGTCTGCTAAAGCTCCCCCCCCCCCCAGTGATCCCTGTGCCTGCCAGGGTTTGTCATCCACACTGCGCCCCGCAGCACCTGCAATGGCTTGTGGAACATAAACTTCATCTCCTTGAAGTGCCTAAATGGGTTCCAAGAGAGCTGGAAAGGGGTTTTGGACAAGGGCCTAGAGTGACAAGACAAGGGGAAATGGCTTCACACTGACAGAAGGCAGCGTTAGATGGGATATTGGGAAGAAATTCTTCCCTGTGAGGGTGGGGAGGCCCTGGCACAGGTTGCCCAGAGAAGCTGTGGCTGCCCCAGGCCTGGAAGTGTTCAAGGCCAGTTTGGACAGGGTTTGGAGCAACCTGTCTAGTGGAAGGTGTCCCAACCCGTGTCAGGGGGTGGAACAAGACGATCTTTAAGGTCCCTTCCAAACCAAAACATTCCAGGATTCTACAATCTTACACAACCCACTTGGCTTCCTAGTCCCAGCATCGCCCACAGCTGGGAGGCCTCACAGCACACTAAGGATGCCAACTTGGCACTGCACCCCTGTGTTCATCACATTCCAACTTCTTCCAGCCAGGAAAGGACTCTTCCTACTGTTTCTAAGCCATCACAGGGCAGAGGGAGGGGGCGAGGGAGTTCGAGCCGCAAATCTGCGGTGATTGAAGCTGCCAGCTGTGAAATCGCCATCGCGGCGGTGACAAGGTGAGGGATGATTTGCAGCAAGGCTGAGACAGGCCCCGGCGCAGGAGCCGGCACACTGTCACACCAAATAATGGCAGTCCTGGAATCACTGGACGCACAGGCCCGAGGGGAAGAGCATCTCAGTTCATCAAAACATGCAAGGAAATAGCCCAGTTTGGGTCGCACAGCATCACAGTGGCTTCTGGAGATGCACCAGTATTGGTGAAAACCTGAATGTTTCTGAGAAACGCTTTCTGAAACTGCATGCTTCTGAGCCCTCTGCTTCCCTCCTGGCTCAGGCAGAAAGTGGAAAGGACTCGTTTCATCAAGGGAACTGCTCCAAACGGCATAGGATGGCCCAGGCAGTGGGGATGCTCCCACACCAAGGCTGACCTCAGGGGCTCAGGATGGGGCATACAGTGAAACACCAACCCCCAAGAGGAGAAAAGCCCAAGGGGACAGAGCCTCAGGCTCCAGATGCCTATGTGCCTGTGCTCAGCTATTTGGGACTGCAGGATAAGGCAGCGAAATAACCACCAGATAAAGAGCTCAGCCCTTCCACAGGCTGATAAGAGCCTCTGTTAAACCTGCTCTTTGGCTTCAGGATACGGTGCAAATTAAATATAGTTCAGTTGCTGCATTTAATTCCTCTCTTCCGTTCTTCTCTTATTAACCTGACAGAGATGGGCAGGGAGGCAGCCGGACACACAGCAGCACCCCTCCCCCAGCCCCCCAACCCTGCTTTCCCCAGCCACCGACAAACAAAATCCCCCAGGGATGGTTGTGGGAGCAGCAAACAGTGTGTCCCGGTGGCTGGTGGGGTACCCCCCGACCTCACTACCTTCTGCATGACAGCCATGGGAGAAAAGGGACCTCCACGGGGCTGATGCTGCTGAGCTGGGGCTCCAGCCTGGCTCCCCCCAGGGATGTCCTTGGGCATCCACAGTCTGTGGCACCCACACTGGTGGCCTTGGGAGGGGGATGTGGGGTGATACTGGGGACTGTGGATAACCCTGGGGTGTCCTGCCCTCAGGCCACATGAGTGGCAATTTGAATGTGAGCCTGAAAATAAAATACTCGTTTATCAATAAGATCGTACACTGCTCAACGCCACATCCCACTTGGCCCAAATCTCATCCACAGAGGCACTTTATGTTATCCTCTGTACCCTAAAATGTGTCAAGGAAAGGAATAATTATGTCAATATAATTGTATTTCAAATGCAAAATACCATCTTCATAACACAAACTGACAAAGCTGGTCCCAACATCAGGACCCTGGCACTCAGGGAGTTGTTAGACACCTTTGACACACACTGTTTCAATCTAAATGTAAATCCAAGAAGCATTTCCCTTTTCCTACAGTTCCTGGGCTGAGCACCGACTTCTTCAAGCAGGATGAGTTGCAGGGCAGTGCTGGCTGTTTGTTTCCTCTGAGCAGGAAATGGGGGCAAATAAAGGAGGAAATACGTTCATTGAGAAAACTCCTAATATTGAGCAAATAGAGCCGCAACTTGACCGGGGGGCTGCAAGGAGCATCCTCTGCTGTCAAATCCCTGTTGGCAACAGCAACTCTGGCTCCTTCCACCAAACCAGTCAGTCACGCACAGCAGGACCGGCCTGACCAGCTCAGAACCCCCGGCTGATGCATATTTTATAGCCAATAAATAAAATATGTGTTCTGCCTGGTTCCGAATACACTTCCAAACCAGATCCTCCCATTCACAATTGGTGGACAGGTCGACTCCCGAACCCCAGCGGCACCGTCCCACTGGCACGTCAGAAGCCGTGATTTTAGAAGGCTGAGGTTGATTCCTACTGACAGGGGGCCTGGGTTAAAGGCTCTCCCAAGACAAGGGACACAGAAGCTTGCTCGGCCATGGCCAGCACACAGCAAACCCACACAGAGCTGCTGCTCACAGCCGGACTCGTGACCCCGCCCGCAGGCTCACAGGAGGAGGCTGCTGCACATCCCTGATGGAAGGACCGTGACAACATGAGTTAAACTGCAAAAATCATTAACTCCTACTGTGAGTGACACAGTCAAGTGCTCAGCAGCAGGTCTGGCCTGCTGGATGCCTTTCCCTGTGGTTCATACGGACCCTCTGCACCCACCCTGCTCAAAGCCCCTGCAGCCCTCTGACCTCTCCCAGCACCATCCGCTCTCACTGCAGGGACAGTGGGAAAGGAAGAGATTTGCTGTAAAGGGGAAATATCACCGACACTTTGCGGAAATCCTGACAGGAGAAAGCCCAGGAACACAGCCCCTGGCACCCCGACACCGTGACACCCCGCCACTGGCACGGCTCAGCAGCAGGGCTGTCACCAAACCCAGAGCCACAGCAGGAGAGGTCAAGGCAAGAGCAGGCTCTGCACCAGCAAGGACAGTCAGCAAGGACAGGAGGAGATGTAGATGGGCTGCAGTCCTGCCCTGCCCCTGCACAGCTGGCAGGTGAGACCCCTCTTTCCACCACCTCCCTGAACACCATTGCAGCTTCCTCCTGCCATTTGCAATCCAACTTTTCCAACAGCCAGGAGGAGATGCTCAAGCCCTCTGCAGCCAGGGCAGCACAAGGGGCACTAGCTGGCAGCTCAACAGGACACAGGGAGAGGGGGGACATCTCAATCAGCAGCTCCCTCCCCCTACCTCTCCTCATCCCAGCTTTGCTTTCATTGCTTCTCTGGAAAAGGATTTCTACACCCTGTTTTTCTTAAGAGCTTTTTTTTTCCAACTAATTTTGTCGCAGAAGCATTTGAAGAGAAGTTAAAAGCAAATAATCAAAATCAGCAGGGAAATGATTTGTGGGATTCTAAGGGATGCCCAGGCCAGCACCACAGAGCATCCAGGGCCGCGTCCTTGTCACCACCTTGTATTTTTGCTTGTGGTTCTGCTGTGACAACACAACCCTTGCACGCTCCCATCCACCTCAAGTGAAGTGTAATCTAATTAGTCCAATTTGGATCACTTTTCTTTAAATAATTTAGTGTACACCTGCAGTATTCATCCATCATTATTATTTTTAATTAAGTCATTAGCTCGCAGGTTTTCGGAGATTTTGAAGTGACAAAATTTGTGCAGTTGAAGAGTGGGGGGGGGAGGGTGAACAACACATCGTAATTGGTGTGTGAGCAGCCACCAGTGCTGATGGATTCCTAAGGAATTTACTCCTTTAAAGGCAAAGCAGAATCACAACAGCTCTAATTAGCACATACACAGCCGAGTTTTCACTCCTGGCTCCTCCATCACCCAACCTCACCTCTAAGGACTGGCTGCCTTTGATGATAATTGTCGTTACACTTCGTCAAAGTCATTAACTTTTCAAGGAAAGAGCAGCTGGAAAGACCTAGGAGCAGGCAGGGAGGGGGCTGAGGGCTGAAGAGACATCAGAGGGTTTGCTGGGACCCTGCTGGGAGCTGAGGGTTTGCCTGGGTGGGACTGTGGCATTCCCAGCTGGAGGCACAATCAGCTCTTGCTTTGCTTCTAAAGTTCACTGGAAGCACCAAAAAGAACGCTTTAAAGTTTGCAAAGGAACAAAAAAATAATCCTAAAGCTCAGGCTGTGTTGTGTTACACAGCGTGGCCATAGTGGGGCTGCAGCGCACAGATTTGCCAGCAAAAGAACCAGAAAAAAAGGTTATTTACACTGAGGTCTCACCTTTTTTTACGGAAAAACCAAACCTGTGAAGAATATCTTCACACCTGTACTTCAGTTTTCTGTAAAATTAGTTAATTATTATGCTGATGAACTTCACAGCTTCATTAAAGAAAATGATTTTAGGATAAAGAAACCTGATTTTAGGACAGCGCCTGCAGCCCCCTCCCTCACCGTGGTGTGCCAGGGCCAGGGGCTCCAGGGTTAATGGAGCTGTATGTGGGTACTGAGGGTCAGGAGGAGATACAGTAAATCTCCCTGGATTGTACCTCAGCCAGCCAGGGCTTCATCCCAGCAGGATCAGACCCTGCTTTTCCCTGGGCATCCCATCAAGGCAGCACCTGGCTCTCCAGGCAGGAGGGACTCCAGGGGCGCCTGCCCATGGCTGGACCACATTCCAGAGTTTTCATCCCAGTCCCATCCCAGAACCCCCAGCCCAGATGACTGGTTTCTGCCATGAAATCCAAGCTGAACGGGCAGTTCAGTCAGCAGCAGCACAGTCAGCACCATCCCGTTCTATGAGCAGCCTCAGGAGGGAAACCCCAGATGGTGGCTGGTCCCAGCTGCTGTGACAGCAGCTCATCGCCCACACCCGACCCCCATGCCTGGTCCTAACCCTTCTCCATCCTTCCCAGCCTCTGCTTCATCTTTTCCAGCCCCTGCTCCATCCTTCCATGCACTGCAGCTTCACAAGGGGACACTTGTACGGGGACAAGCACGAGCGCATCTGCACACACGACAAGCCCAGAGATCAGGGCTTGTTTTAAGCTCCCCAGGATTAACTCCAAGTTGGAAATCCATCTCTCACTCCTCACTGTGGCTCAGTGTCTGCTGCAGCCCAAGGAGAGCAGGTGGCCTGTCAAGCTCTGGGTGTCAGCACAGCAGCTGAGAAACAAGGAGCTGTTGCAGGCTGGGATCCAGATTTTATTGGGAATAGGAGCTACAGCTCCAGGGAGGAAACCCAGTACGTGCAACCAGAGCAAAGACAGAGACAAGCAGGGCCAAGTGCCGTTTGTTACAAACCAAGCCTCCCTCGCTGTGATGGCACCGGACTTGGAAAGTGTTCAGAATCCATCCTTCTTACAAAATTTATAAGGCAAAGCCTTCTGCCTGGCAGACAGCTCTCCAGCTCCCTTCCCTGCTCCTCCCTGGATATTCCCTGCTGAATGGCACAAATCTGCCTTCCAACTGCACAAAGCTGGGTAGAAAACAAGGAAGAGATGGAAATAGCCTCCCTGATCCTGGCTGGGGGCGTGGGGATGGTGGCACGGGATTTTCCTGTGCCTTGACCATTAATAAATAGGAGCTGTGAGAACAAAATACCTTTTATTTTGTATATGGTATATAGATACCATATATATACCTATCCAGGCAGCAGCTCTTAGGACCCCAGGAAACAAGACAGGATTTGTAACCCAGTCTGTGCAATGGACTTGTCCCTTCAAAGCACCCCTTGAACCTCAACAGTGCATGGTAAGTCCACAACCTTGCCACTGGGTATTTAAATAAATTTAAAAAAAAATTGTTAGGTGCAGACCATGACTTAAGTAATGTCAAGTGAATAATTCACGCTGGATTTATAATTGATGGGGGATTTAGCAGGAGCAGAGCCATAAGTGGCTTTCTATTAACTATTGATGCTACCCCCGCCAGGCTCCCGACAAGCACGGCCGGGCTCTGAGATCACAGCTCTGCCCCATGTTTTATTTAAGTGCTGTTAAGAGGACACACACAGTCTGGGGGATGCCTCTGCTCCCGGGAAAGTCACAGCAGCCCTTGGCTGTGGTGTGGTCGTGCACATGGAGTCTGTTCTCATGGAGCAGTCACTCTGATCAGCCAGCATGGAAAAACTGGGATGGTGTGATGTGCCTGGGGGAGCCCACCCCCCGCAGGACTTGCTGGCTCCTTCCTCCTGCAGATACAAGTTCAGCTGTTTATGGAGTTTTGTGCCTTATTTGAGAGGTGCCTTTAAAATCCCTTTCAGACCTCTTTGCAGGCTTCATTTGGGAGAAAGGAGAGTGCTAAGAAGTCCAAGTACGTTGCTTCACCCATCACTCACATCCCCATATGAAACATCAAAAAAGCTTCTCAAAATATTGGCACAAACCCAAAAACACAGTGAGAAGAACTCACCTAACAGCCAGCACATCTGTGTTCCAAACACTGTGCTTCCAACAAAGCTGCAAGAAACACCCAGTCAACACAGCAAACACAGCTGTGGCTCCCTCAATCCCGCAGGGAAAGCAGCAGGATCAAGGAACCCTGTGGCCCAAGGAGCCCAGCATGCCTGCAGCACCCCAGGGGCACCCAGAGCCTCTCACTCCAACACCTCCTGGCTCTGCAGCCCATCGGTGGCTGTACAACTCTGACCTCGATCCATGCCCAGGAAAGGGTGTCCCAGCAGCTGGACTGGTGTGCCAGCACACAGGGCTCAGCCTGGCAGAGCAAGGACAAAGCCTGTCCCTGGCACAGGCAAGGGATTGGGAATGATTCACATCATTCCCCTCAGGAAGGCTGGCAGCCTCGGGGTGGAATAAATGCTGAAATCGCCTTGATTGTTAAATAAAAGATCATTGATAAGATAACTGCTCCTGATTTGGCCCTGCTGGCAGCAGAACTGCAATATCTTTCAATTACTGCTTGGGAGCAAGGCTTTCCCCTGGATTAGTGGAAGAAACAACATGAAAAGAGACACTGGTAAAGGGCTGTAAAGTGAAGGTGAATCTATTTTTGCTGCTCTCCAAACCCAGCTGAGGCTCTGCTCTCTCAGAGTGGGTTTAGCTGCTGGTTGGCACCATCTGAGCCACCACCACTGGCGCAGGGGGGTGGGTTTGGCAAAGCCAGGAGCGCTGTGAGGAGTTGGCACTGAGCCCTGAGCGCCAGCACACTGAGCCCCATGATCAGCACGTGGCATGTTGGGGACTGGCAGGAGGACAGAGGACTTCCCATCCACTATGGTTCTGCCTGACATGAGGGAAACCAGCACGAGGAGGTGCAGGAATGACCTGAGCAACTTAGAATCACAGATTCATTCAGGTTAGAAATACCTCTATTATCATCCAATTCAACCATTCCCCCAGCACTGCCAAGGCCACCATTAAACCATGTCCCCAAATGCCACATCTACACGTGAACTGCATTTCTTCAAGTGGAACAGTCAAAGCCAACTCCCTCCCATTAAAAAAAAACGTGGAGAAAAAGGACTGCCCAGGCTGCCAACCTAGCCATGGAGAAAGGGAACACGAGGGGCCTCAAGGACAGCTTTGGTTCAACAGTCTGGGGCTGTGGAGGGATATAAAGTGATTTCTTGTTCCTCCAAGCTCTGGAGTAGCCCAAGACCCACAGTGTGCCTTCAGAGGGGTCAGCTCCATCCCCAGACTTAGAACACACATAGCATCACACAGAAAATATATTTCTGGGGCTCTTAGATCAATCTGGGGTCACAAAGGGATACCCTCCACCAGCAGTAATCCCCTTCCATGGCCATGGGACTGCCCAAGCCCCCAGGAGCAGCACCCCCTTACCAGCTCCACACGCTGGCGGCTGGACTCCAGCTCCCTCTGCACCAGCTCATCCATGTCAGCTTTCATCTCCTCCATCCTCCGCTGGTAGTACCTGCTGTTCTCCTTCTCCCGTGCCTCCGACTCGGCCGCGTTCTCCAGCTCCTCTCCCATCTTGATGATGCTGTCTCGCAAGCGCAGCACCAGCACCTGGGGTGCCAGGTGAAGCAAGGGGGGTGGAGATGAGGTGTTAGAAAGCTCTCCACGAGCATCAAGCCAGTGTTGACTGTCAATAAACCCCACAGCAAAGCACACAGAGATAACAGCAGTGCCATGAACCATATGGACTGTCTGCAGCTCCCGCCTGGCCCTCCCCACCCCTTCCCAGGTGCTTCCTTCCCCAAAGCCAAGGTGGTGGCAGCATCGCTGTGCCTGCCATTTACAAGCAAAGGTGAGGAGGGGGTACCTCAAAGCGCTTCATCTGCACAGTCTGGAAGTCCAGCTGGCTCTCCAGGTCGCGGATCCGGGCTTCCTGCCGGCTGATGATGGAGCGCTCGGCCGGGCACTGCTCCAGCTGCGCCGCTCTCGCCTGCACTGCCTGCAGCTGGGTGAGGATGGGCTGTGTTAGCACCTCCCGGCCCCTGGCCATGCAAACACCTCCTCAGACCTCTCCTGGATCCCTCACCAGTCCCCCACACGCACTGGGGGCTTCTCGTAAGCCTGAGGTAACAACACCACAGCAAAGCGTTGCCTTCACTTCCCAAAGGATTCCCCGCTGTTAAAGCCACACAGCACAGGCCTGACACCAACATGTATTTTTGAATGAAAAACCTGCTGGCAAGTGACACGTGTCTGGGTATCCTTTGCTTTTCTCATCTCACACACTCTTTGAGGACAGCAGGCGTAAAAATTCACAATCTGTGTGGAAAGCTGCCTGGGCCAAGCTGTATCCTCAACTGTTACGCTGAGATCTCCAAAGGAAACTGCCCTTTTAGTGATCCCGCTACAACTCGGGTTCGGATTTTGAATTTGACCTAGAACTACAGGAATTTGCCTTCTTTTATCCGGCCTATCTCTAAAGCACCACCCGCTCCGCCTCGGAGGGAGCGAGTCCTGCTTCTGATTCCTGGGCAGCTTAGCTACGCTCCAATAAAGCACTTAACTTAATGGGATTACTCATGTGTTTAAAATTAAATCCATCACTCGGGAGGGTTGGCACAGCTGCAGAGGCGAGGGAGTGCAGCACCCACTGGTGTCCACCCAGGGCCAGCCCCGCACTGGGGTCAGCCCCATTCCAACCACAGCACCAGCAGATCAGGAGGGATAAGTAGGGCTCTGAATCCCAAGAGCCTTGGCATGGAAAGGTTTCTGCAGCTCAAGGCCATTGCTGGCAGAGCCCCACAGCCTGCCCTGGCCCTATCCCATCCCGAGGGCTGTGGGCACCCAGAAGCACCCATGCTGCTCTCGAGGGCACTCACAGCCCATCAGGAGGAGGAGAGGCTCCTGACCACATCACAGAGGAGAAATGGCTTTGTGGCACACAGACAGACATTTGATCTCATTTCAGACCAGAGCATGGCATCCACAGCTGGCACAGATGATGTGCTGGACTCAGATGCCATCAGATACCTGGATGCTCCCACTCTTCAGCTCTGGGTGCCACAGGCTGGGCAGGAATTACCTTCTCCTGCAGGCTCTGCTTTTCTTTCTTCACATCCTCCACCTGTGTCTGCAGCTCCCAGATCTGAGTGATGTCTGTTGCTGACTGCAGAAAGAGAAATTTGGCAGTGGGAGCAGAACCAGGCTCGGAGCAGGGGCCTGGCTCTTGCCACCTCCTGCCACCAACACAGTGAGCTACACCTTGACTGCACTGCAAGAGCTTCGGTCTCCCAACCCAGTGCAGCTTTCCTAATTTTTGAAATAAATATTTGCGGATTAGGACAGAAACTGTGTTGTCAAGGTCATCTCTGCCCACGGGGCCCTTTCAGATACAGACTCCTGGATCCATAACACCACTGCCAGGGGCACCAGACTGTGAATTGTCAGCCTGGCTGGCCTGCTCCTGTGCCTATGGGAGCCTTGGTGTCCCTCAGGTCCCAGTACAATCCTTTGGGAGAGCCTGACATAGTCTGGATAGGGCACAGAAAGTCCCAGCACGAGAAAGCAGCAAAAGAAAGAATAAAAAAAAGATCTAGAGGGGCAGTTGTAGGATTCCACAAATACTGGAACTAAAGCAAAGACTTGAAAAAAGACTCAAAACTACAGTTGAGAGGAGTCAGACCCATGAGCTGTCCCTTCCTCATCACAACATCTAAGTCCTGAGGTTCCCACCCTGCTGTGCACCCACAGGGATCACAGGCTGCTCTGTGCCAGGCTCAGGGTTTTCCAAGAGCCCTCCCTGGGAGGGAGATGCTGTGCCAGCTCCTACCTGGGCAATCAGAGCCTTGTGCTTTTCCATGAGCTCATTCAGGACTTCCTTGTCCTCATCGATAAGTTTCAGGAGATCAGCTCTCTCGCGCTGCAGCTGGAACAGCTGCTCATCCACCTGCAGGAGGATCCACCGGACCACTGGCTCACACATCCCACAAGGAACCCACCACATCACCCGGGCTGCAGTGTCCTCTGGGACATGCTGCCAACAGCCTCCAACCCACCAGAAAGGCAATGGGAGCTCCTGGTATATCCACAGAGCAGAACTGTGGGATGCTGGGCCCTTGTAGTAATTTTGTCCACCCATTAAACCACCTGGAGGCTGTTGTTTCCAAACAGTCTGGGTGATTTAGTGGATATCCTCAGAGATTTAGTAAATATGCTCGGACATTTAGTAAATATACTTGGTGATGTAGTAAATATGCTGAGGTGATTTACTAAACATGCTGGTAGTTTCTGATTTAGCAAACCAGCTGCTGATTGCTGCCAAACCCAAGGAAGGGGGACTGTGCCCTCCTACCTCCCCTGCCCTGGCCACATCTCCAGGAACCCACCAGGGTCTTGCTTCTGCTAAGGGTCTCCATCTCCATGTGCAAGTTCTCCAGCTCCAGGGCTGCTGTTTGCTGGTTCCTCTGGGCCTCTGCACACTTTGCTTCACTCTCTTCCAGCTAGGAAAAATTAGGGTTGGGGAATGATCACTGATGATGCTGCCCCACAGCATACAGCCATGCCTACTCCCACTTCCCTGGAGCATTTTTCCCCAGTAAAACACATGGAATCTTGACCTTCTAAACCTGTGCTGCTCTTCAGCCTGTCTGCTCCTGGTTGACAGGGAAAACAAGGCTTCCTTGACAGCTCCCAGCACATCTCACCACAGATTCCAACACTTCTGTCTGTCCTGGTGAGCATGGCAGACAGCCTTCCATAGTACATCCACCCTCTACCTCCAGGATGTAGAGCTGGGATCATTAATTTGCAAAATTATGTGAATTACATGTAATTCCTGATTAGAGCAATTCATGATTCGGGGGTTTGCAAATGGGCTTTTCATGTGGTGTAAATTGCATTTGCAAATACACATGGAAGATCACATTTATAAATGCTAATTTGCTCTCGGGTTTTACAGCTCAGCCATTAAGATCACAATGATCTTCAACGGGCTGCAAACACCTGGAAGTTGCAGCGTCATCCTGAAAACTCTCCCCTGCCAGGACGGAGGAGTTTACGTAGGTTGGACCTGAACATCCAGTTCCTTTCCCTGCTCCCTGGGGTTTCTTTCTTTTCTTTACAAAAAAGAAAACTGAACCCCTCTGCTCACTGCTCATTTCCTGTGCCTGGTCCTGGTTTCCCTGTGGAGCTCCCGAAAGCAACAGTAGCCACTGCATGCCACGGAGAGAGCTTGAGCATTTTAGGCTGTTTTTTCAGGGTTTACTTACCTTTTTTAAACTCTCCCCCTCAAAAAGAGGGAAATCATGAAATGATTATAACTGGAGCAATCCTTGGCTCATTTCCCTCCACTGTGGGAGGTCATTGAGACCTCCCACTAGAGAGGGCACCAGGAGAAAAATACCCTCTGTGTTTTGCTGGGATGAGTTGAAGACACCAGTTGGATTGATCCCTGGTTTTATGGCCAAGGGCTGCCCCAACCCTGCTCCTCTAGAAGCAGCTGCATCCATGACCAGCCCTGGGACTGATCTCTCCTCTGCCATGACCTCACCAAAATTCCTCATATTTTAACCAGAGAGAAACACATCTCCAAGACCTCTCATTAAATACCAGCTTCCAATTCACTTTGCGTAATGGAATTTTCCCACTTGGGAAGAATAAATTGAAATTCCCCCCCAAAATGCATAATGTATGAACTTCAGAACAACATTAGTTTGCTGTGAACACCATCTGTTAAATACCTGCGTAAAATGGATGCCTCAGCCTTATTAAGAAACAATGCTATACTTCCAGCCATATGGATTTTGATTAACGGAAGTGCAGCATTTTAGCAAAGCTTTTCTCCTTGTGGAGGTCCGTGGGCTGGTGGTAGGATGCACTGGCTTTTGAGAAAGTCGTCATGAATGCCATTAGAAATTGTTTAAATTTAAAGGACAGAATAATCACGTGGCATTTTTAACACATGCAGAGTCTCAGTGTTGGTGGCACAGCAAAAACTCAAAATCCCCAAAATTAAGGCTGTTCACTCACTCTGAACACAAGGCAACCCTAAGTCCAACCTGTCCCCGATCCCCACCTTGTCACCCAGCCCAGTCCAGTCATTCCTCGAACCTCTCTGGGGATGGGGACTCCATCACCTCCCTGGGCAGCCCCTTCCAATGCCTGACCATCCTTTCCATGAAGAAATTCTTCCTGATGTTCAGTCTGAACCTCCCCTGGTACAGCTCGAAGCCAGTTCCTCTCATCCTGTCCCTTGTTCCCTGGGAGCAGAGCCTGACCCACCTCAGCTACATCCTCCTGTCAGGGAGTTGGAGAGAGCAAGAAGGTCCCCCCTGAGTCTCTTTTTCTCCAGGCTGAGCCCCCCCAGCTCTGTCAGTCACTCCTCATAGGACTTTATTCTTTAGATCCTTCACCAACTCCTTTGCCCAAATGCATTGTTCCCCCAGTAAGATGGGGCTAGACACCATGGGAATGGCCACAGTCCCTGGGCAGAGCGAGCATCCCAGAGCATCACTGCTGGTCCCTTGGATCAGCATATGGAAGAGAGCTGAGCACAGGGCCTTCCCCCATTAAGAGTACCAGGGGCTAGGAAAAAACAGGCGTGGTGCAACCTCTCCAGCCCCAAAGTGGGATTTGGGAAACATTGAAGGATTTATGAAGTGCAGCATTACATCATTGGGTCAATAAGAGAGAGCACACGTGACTGCCAAAAATGACCATTCCCACTGCCTGTCCCAGCCATGGCCATCCCCTGCCCTGAATATTCAGATAATGGACACAAGCATTGACATGAACATGGGCATAGACATGGGCATGGCCATGGACACAGATACACTGCTGGCTCCATCAGGCTGAGCTCACCTTCCCCTTCTCCCTCAGCACAGGTGGGAACAGCTGCTCCTCACAGCTGTTATTTATGCAGAACTACCATCCCAATTATATTTGGATGTTGCTGGAATCACTCATGCCTCCCGATTAGTTTGTTTCCAGGGGAAATGTACAGTACAGATTAATTACTGAGCTGTTCCGGAGGACCGGCACCGGTAGCTCAGCCCCTGCTCAGCACTGTGGGATGCATGTCCATGGTCAGCCTGGGGTGGGCAGCCCCGAGGGACCCCTGTCCATGGCAGGGCACTCCGCAGCACCCTAAGCTCACTCTGGGGTTATCCCTGCTCTGGTGGGCACAAGCTGGCACACACCTGTAGCTGCTCAGCAGGTGCTCCCTCAGCACCACTGAACACGGGGTATCTCTGCTCAAACTACAGCAAACCCAGCTCGATCCCTGCTCCTTCTCACAGCATCCCTATGGCAACACCGCCCCAACCCAGCTCGAAAGAGACAGAGAGAAACTCCAAACAGAAGGTAATTAACAGGAAAAAAGGGAAAAACACTTAAACACTGTTGACTTAATTATGGGGAAGTGCTCCTTCCGAGGAGCCCTTGAAGTGTGTGAGGCACTGCACCCTGCCTGCGTGGGTGATGCTCGCGGGGTCACCGCTCGCTCTGCATGTGACTCAAAGCAGGAGAGCTGGAAATATTCCCTGTGGCTTCCCTGCTCTGCCAAAGGTCCCCACCTGCTTGCGTAGGAGCTCCAGCTCCTGGGAGCTGGCTCCGGGCTCCGTGGGGGCCGCCAGCAGCAGCCGCACGTCGGCGAGGAGGGCGCGTGTCCGGCGCAGGTCCCGCCGCAGCCGCTTCTCCACGTCGAAGTCACGGTGGCCGATCTGGGGAGGGGACAGAGGGTGTCCTGAGCCCTTCACCTCCATCAGAACCTTTCATCTCACCCCAAGGCATTCCCCACACAACGTAAGAACATTTTGGTAATGCTGAGGTCATGATGCAAGAACACATTAAATATGTATGTATAAATATTACCATTTTCATAGAATCATAGAATCACAGAATCATGGAATAATTTAGGTTGGAAAAGACCTCCAGGATCATCGAGTCCAACCTTTGACCCATCACCACCTCATCAACTAGACCAGAGTGCTGACTGCCACATCCAGTCACTTCTCGAACACCTCCAGAGATGGTGACTCCATCACCTCTTTCAAATAAAAATAATTTAATAGTTAAACGAAAGGGAGCAAATAAATTTTGTGAACATTAGAACTAGCAGATTCCACCAAAATACCACATTTTTCTCCCCCAAAAAAGACGTTCTCTGAAAACATTTGCCCAGCCCTGGTTTCCATCAGCCACATCCCTGCCCAGTGACCATCCCTGTGGCCAGAGGGGCAGCCTGGCCACATGACTGCAGGAAGCACCGTAAAAACCCCCACCCTCTATGCTCCCCCCTCGAGCTGAGAGCAACCATGGTTACAGGGATAAAGGAATTAGAAAAACACCAAACAAACAGGGACATGGTTTCAGCACTTGATTTCAGCCTAATTGAAGTATAAGAGCATTTTCCATTTAGGCTGTTTTCCACGGCTCTCGCTTCAAACCCCTTCTCCTATTTTCTATTTACTAGCTAAAATGAACTGCATAGATTTGACCTTGTAGCCCAGTTTAGAGCTGGCTGGAATTTGCTGGAACCAGAAATCATTGGCATCTCCATTTTCTTAATTAGTTTTCTGGATTGGCTGTTTTTTTTCTCTTTTTAATGAACTGTCCTCTGCAAACCAGAGGGTGTTTGGTGCTGTGGCTGGAAGCAGCTGCCCCCTCCCACCGTTGTAGCCCAGGGTTTTTAGGTGACAAAGGCAGGATTTCATTTAATAGCTCTGCCAAGGCTGCAGTTGTATCTCACACATACTACAGCAATTCCCAGCTGCACAGTTCCATCTCCCCTTCCCCTCACACAGTGACTGCCCTTGGGGGACTGGGGGATGCCAGGGCAGCACCTGGGGACAGTCCTGGAGGGAGAAGGTGCCTTTCCTTGTGAGCTCCTGCTGCTTCCTCATCCATCTCAGTTCTCCACCAAATAAGCAAGACATGTTGGACTGTTATAATAATACCCTGCTTTGATGCAGCACAATTTATTGTGACAGTTCCCAAAACATCTTCTAAGCCAGGAGCTGGGGGGATGTTATGGATAAGCCTCATCAGACCACTTTGTGTCTACTTGAAATATACCCACCATTCCAGTGCTGCAAATCTCCCAGATTCATCCCATTTAATGAACACATGTGACTGCCAGGGCTAGTGAAATGGTGAAATCCAGCTTGTGCCAATGGCCAGAGGACACAGTGCTTAATTACCGTGCCAGGGTGAGTGGCGCTGGGACAAGGCTGTGTGAGGGTGGACAGGAAGCTTTGGATAGACCCTCCAGGCTGAGCTCTGGAGAGCCCTGGGGTGCAGAACCGCTGAGATGGTGACTCTGAACACACTGGGCTGGTGCCATCCTCAGCCCTGGCAGCACCAGGCCCCAGGAAAGGGCCAGCTGGGACCTCACTTAGTCACCAGAGCACCGTGATGGCCTCCGGGCCATGCCAAGGGATGCCCAAGCCAATAAATCTGCTCAAGGAGGCTGCATTCAGCCCCTCACCTGCTGGTTGAACGCAGAGCAGCTGGGTGTGCTATCCCATCACCTGCACCTCAATCACTGCCACAGACACATCAGAGAGGGAGAAAGGATTTGTTTAAAAGATGTGGCTGGGATAGAATTTCTCTGCAAAGAGCAGGACTGGATAAACTGCTTTTCTAGGCAGTTAGATGCACTCCAGTGTTAGATGTGGCTACTCTGACTCTCATGAAAACAACAGTAAAAAGCAGATGCCTCCCTCTGCTCAGAAATTCTCCCATACAAAAGGGAACAGTTCCCCTCTGCAGGTCCTTAGTGGGACCACATGGCTCCTGTGTGATCCTTGCAGTTCCAAAGCCCCCAGATCCCAGTGCTGCTGCAGCACACACTGCTGCTCTGTTGGATGGCATTTGGGAGAGGTGATGGACAGGAGCATCCTGGACAGCTGCACATGCATCAACAACCAGGATATTGCTCCGTCTGCACTTGTGCATTCCCACTCCAATTTTTATGGGCAGTGTTTTTAGCCAGGACATGGCCCATGAAGCAGCCCCTGGGACAGACACTGTCCTCTTACCTGCTCACACAAGGTGGCAATGAGCCCTTCCAGGTCCTGCTTCTCGTGTAGCACCATCTGCTTCTCTTCATACTCCTGTTCCAGCTGCATCTCCAGCTGCCGGAGCTGTGTGTGTGAGAAATCCCAGCCATGCTCAGATCCCAGCCAGCTCCCAAAAGCCCCATGTCCCAGCAGGGCACAGCCACCACCACAGTGGGGCCCTGGCACCCCCCAGGAGAGGGGTTACATCGAGGTCTCCCCCTCCACCCAGCACTGGGAACCAGGAATGGGTTGTGTCCCCTGGAGCACCTCCCCCCCGGCAGTGCAAGTGCAGAGGAGGGGAATTAGTCCAGGAGCCTGCAGGACTTTGGGAGACAGGATGGCTATTTGAGCCATGCTGCCTGTGAGACACACTCAGACATGGCCAAAGGCTGTCGCTGCAGTTCTGGAATTTATGTTTGCACCCACTGACCTCATGGCCTTGTAGAAATGGTATTTTCTGTAAATTATCCCCAAACATGAAACACTGGAGTTGGTGCCCTTGTGGCATGACACTGGAGTTACCAGGAGCAGCGTGTCCATGTTCTGCATCAGACATGGCTCTTGCACACTGTCCCCAGCAGCCCCTCCAGTGTGGCAGGGACTCATGCCTGACCCAAACCCTGACCTGCACACCTAGGATGTGACCAAGGCTCATGTTGGGTTGGTGGTGGGAAGTCAGCACTTCGACACTTCCTGAGGAGGACAGACCCCTGGAATAGCTCCTCCTCTGCACTGAGCACATGGGGAGCTCCAAGGAGCGCCCAGCATCGTCCCCACACCCAGTGAGGACTTACCCTCTTCTGGCAGGACTGCCGCACGTCCTCCAGCTCCTCGTCCTTGTCCTCCAGCTGCTTCTGGTGGATCTGTTTCATCCGCTCGATCTCCAGTTCCAGCCTTTCGTGAAGCTGAAAGACCCAGAGATGAAGGACAGTGGTAACACTCAGCCCCAAAGGGACGGGGATGGTGTTGGTCTGGGCTCGATGTGCCCAGTGGGGATGGACACCCCCGGCACACCCAGCCCCACAGTACCTGCTCCAGGTGATCGACAGCAGCCCTTTGTCGCTCCAGCTCCTTCGTCTGCTCAGCAGCACTGCCCTCCAGGTCCCAGAGCTGCTTCTTGAGTGCAGGCACAGCACTGGTGTCCGTGGCATCAGCGGTGCTGAGCTCCTGCACCCGGCTGTCCAGCACGGCCACTCGCTGTGCCAGGCTGGCCACCTCTGCCTCCTTCTGCTGCTCGGCCAGACGGAGCAGGGGGTCAGAGCCCGGACATAGTAGGGGGCCCTGGCACTCACACCCTGCTCTTAGTATCCTCAGCATTCCCAACAGCATCATCCAAGACCCCTGGAGCACCAGCAAGTAGTGGGCAGCCCCTTCCCCACACTGAGAACCCTATCCCCACCATGAGCCCCGAGCACACCTTTCCTTCTTGATCCTGAGCTCACCTTCCCACTCCTGTGGGTGTCCCTACTGTGGGTTCCCCACAGCCTCTGCTGCCTGGGGTGCTGGCAGCAGCCCTGCAGGCTCTACCCAACCCCACAGTCATGCCCCTGCCACTGTCAGGTCAATGATCTGAGGGTCTCAGTGGCACCTGGTGCAGCACCATCCCGTGGGACACAGACTGGCAGCTTCCCGCACGTGAGATTGGGGGTAGGGGTGTGAGGAAGAGCACAAATGACTTCAGTGACAATGGGGGTGGGCCTGGTTAGCTAAATCACGGGATGGGGATCACTTATACACAGCAACAGCCCTTCTTCTAGCAGAGGAGAAAGTTATTTAAACACATCAGGTGCCTCCCAGAACTGTGTTAAAAGAAATTGGAATCAAGTTTCCTGATTGCCTCTGCTCTAATTGTAATTGCTTTGCTTCCAAAGCTGTTCCCAAAACGGGGCATAATGCAGCAAAGTGGGATGACTCTTCTTACCTCCAAGCTCTGCTGAAGTTTACCCATCTCCCAGCGGATGCTGGTGTTCTCCTGGGACAACTTTTCACGGAGGCTCTTCTCAAAGGCAGACTGTCCCAAGGCCTGGGCTAACTGCAGGTCAAACCTGGAGGGGGAACACCAGTTACCTCTCCCTAGGTCAGGCTGGAAAGGGCTTGGAGCAACATGGGCTAGTTGAAGGTGTCCCTTCCCATGGCAAGGAAGCGGCACGAGATGAGCTTTCAGGTCCCTTCCAACCCAAAACAGTCTCTGTGATTTCATGATAAACTCACGCGGCAACAGGATGTAAAACTAACCCCCAGGTGTGGTGCAACCTCCAGCAGTCAAAACAGACGAAAACATCAGCCCTTCCAGGATCCTCTTACCCACCCGTAATCATTCCCCTTCCCTGTCCCTCCTGCTCTAGCACTCCCCAGCCCTCCACGCACTCCCAGCAGCCTTACCTCTTCTGCCTCTTCTCCAGCTCATGGCTGCGGCTCTGCTGGCTCTCGGCCAGCACCAACGCGTCCTCCAGCTCGCAGGACAGGCGCTGGCACCGCCGCCGCAGCTGCTGGGACACCTGCTTGGCCGCCTCGCACGCCGCCCGCGCCTCGCCGAGCTGCGGGGAGGGACGGCCCTGAGACCCCGCGGGACACACATCCCGCAGGGGAGGCACCCCATGGACCCCGCGGTACAGACACGCCCCGCAGAAGGGACCCCCAGGGACCCCACTGCACATAAACCCCGGGTAAGATCCCCACCTGGGGCTCAGCCCCATTTAGGTCCCAGGGGATGGTTCGCCCCGAGATTTTTCACTAAATAAGGACAAACCGAGGTGCTCTGAACCCTCAGGTTCAGGCAGCCCCCCCTCAAGTGCCTGCAGCATCCCAGCTCTCCTGCTGAGTCAGCAAAGCTGCCCCGGGGCAATGCCTGATCCCATTTCTCTACAAAAAGCAGTGTCTGGATGGAGGGAGAAGAATCCCCCAAGGATTCACATCCTGTTTGGGACACACACACAGAGCTATTACACGTCAGGGAATGGAGTCATTAAGGAATGACTTTAAATAAGCAAAATCTTGCATTAATGAAGCTTGTAATTCCAAGCTAACTAAAAGCAAATGGGCTGCTTTGCTTTACTCGAGCTCCTAAGAATCAGCTGCTTTGCTTATTACCATTTAATGTACCATGAGCAATCTTCATTTCTTTGTTTCTTCCATATAGGAAGTGACCTGACTCCCAGGCACCGCTCAGGAAGCACGTTGGTTTTTCAGGACAAAGCTCAGGAACTGCCAGCTCTTTACATCAGCAGCTCTTTGTGTGACACATAGTGTGAGCACAGCCCTGTCCAGCTCCCTAACCCAGAACAGCACCAAGACGCACCACCAAGCCTCCCCACCCCGCAGCTCCCACCCTCTGCCCACACTCACACTTGACCAAGGTGGAATTTTGCCATGTTCTGGTGCAAAAGTGATTTTTGAAGCTTGAAGGAAGTTTCTGGGCATTTATTCTCAAAGCCAGCAGAAAACAAGTGGTGTTCCCTGGTCAGTGGGAGCAGCAGCAACAAGCACATGTGAAGCTGAGCCTCAGCCCTGCAAAGCTTTGCCTGCCCCAGGAGTAGGGAGAGAACAACTGGCTCCAGCAACAGCCCCACTCCCTGGCGTGACTTGGGGGTCCCTGTCCCCTCCTGGGCTGGCAGCACTTGCCTTTTGCTCGAGCCCCGTCCTGGTGCCCAGCTCCGACTCCAGCCGCTCCTCCAGCTGCACCAGCCGCTTCCGCAGGAACACGATCTCCGTCTGTGCGCAGTCGAACCGCACCTGCCACTCGTCCTCTGCCACAGAGAGAGACCCCGGGGTGCTGGTGGGTGCTTGGGCCTGACCAGCCCCAGTGGCTGTGCCAGGGGTGGATGGGTGGATGCACAAGGACACCACAGCTCCTGGGTAGCACCAACACCAGCACCGAGCTCATAGGGCACAGAGCTGCTTTGTGTGCCCAGAGCTGCCCCAAGCCTTAGGAAGAGCGTGTGCTCATCCTGTCACATCCCACCCCATCTTACCCCATCCCATTCCATGCCATCCCACTTGTGCCTTAGCAGCCTCCTCATCCCACCATACATACTTCAGACACACTCTGAGGTGCTGGGAGTGCTGAGCACTGCCAGGCAGTGCCAGGAGCACCCTGGGGCAGAATCCCTGCTGTCACCCCCAGCCCCATGCCAGAGACAGCACTGCATGTGACCAAGCTGTCACTGCCAGATCCCACCAGATGAGCCATGTGGGATGACAGGCTGCCAAAATACACTGGGATGCCAGGGGCGGGGGGAGTGGCACTGACTGGAGTGGCCAAACCTCTGCCCTCTGCTTTGTGGCTCTGCTGACCCCATGGATCAGGCTGGATGCCTGGAGCATGCATCACCTGCAGAGGGACATTCCTACCTCCTCCAGAGCCACTTATCTTCATTTCCCGCAGCTGGACCAGCTGTTGGGCCTCTTCCAGCTGCTTTTCCACTGACTCCAGTTTCTTCTGCACTTGGTTATGTTTGCTCTGGGGAAACCAAAGGAGGAAGGGAGCAGGTCTACCTGGGTCTAGGGTCCAGCAAGGCTGTGCCAGGAGGAAGGCATTGACACTGGCATGGCCCAGGGGCTCAGGGCTCTCATACCTGCAGCTCCTGCAGCTCACGGGCACCCCGGAGCCGCTCTGCTCGCTCCCCATCCAGGGCCTGGCAGATGACATCGCCCTTGTACCACTCGTCTGACAGCTCTGTTGTCAGGTCGATGATCTGGGGGGATGGAGGTCAGTCTGGGCATGGTTGTGCACGCCGGATCAGTGGGGTCAGCCATCCCACATCAACCCCACAGTCTTGAGTGCTCTCTGCCTGCCCTTTGGGGAGGTGGTCAGTGCACACCAGCGCTGACCAGCACCACCAGTGGGAGCCCAGGATCCCATTTGGCAGCGTCCAGCTGCCTCTGCCAGGCTGCCTGTGCCACACTGCCTGCACTGCGCTGCAGCCAGGGCTCATCAGATTTCTCCATTGTTCTATTTGATTACATTAAATTTCCTTTGAAACCAGAAGCAGATGAATGAAGGGGAGAATTATTAATTCAGAGAATCAATTTCATTTTTCGCAGAGCAGAGGGGCACATGCTCTATCCTGCTCAGCTGGCCGAGCGAGGGGCTGCAGAGGCAGCAGGGCCACAGGAAAACACAAGATTCCAATGCTTCTTTTTCTGCATCTGACAGCATTCTAAGGCACTTCACATTTTGCAGGCAGCAGCTCCTTAGAGGGTCTCACAAGTTAAACTCAGTAAGCAAATCCCACAGGTTTCCTGTCCCTGGGGAGTTTTTTTGGGTCTGCCCTGAGGCATTCAACTTGATCAGCATTCCCAGCCCTTTAACAGAGAGCTTAAACTAAATCATCTTTACTTCCTTCCCATTGAGAAGGAGATTCCAGGCCCTCGGGGCTGTTGGCACCCTTAACCAGAGCTGCAGCCTAGACCCCAGCTCAGCCACGCTGCAGCCCAGTGATCTGGGCAAGCCCAGGTATTAATAGAAACCTTGGGAGCTCCTTCTCTCCACGATGCTTGGCAAGATCCCAGGCACAATCACACAAGAGCCCTTGCATCAGAGAGCAGAACCCACGAAGGACCAGCAGCTATCTGGGGATTATGGAATCCCAGAATGATTTGAATTGGAAAGGACCCCAAATATATCCAGTGCCAGCCCCTGCCATGGGCAGGGACACCTTCCACTAGACCAGGTTGCTCCAAGCCCTGTCCGACACGGCCTTGAACACTTCCAGGGATGGAGCAGCCACAGCTTCTCTGGGCAACCTGCAGTGATGCCAGTCTGGAATGTTGCAGCTGGGCACCACAGCCCATCATGGTTCTGCTCAGAGAACCACTCCCAGATAAGGTCATTGCTGGCAGCCACCACTGCCCACCCCACTGCTGCCCACGGCTCCTCCAGCTGTGGTGGAACTGGTGCTCCTATTCATCCTGATACAGCTTCATTCCCAACCTGGCCAAGCAGGGCTGTGGCAGAGGCATTGGGGACTGTACCGGAGGTTTTTGGAGCTGTATCAGAGGTTTTTGAGGCTGTACCTTGCTCTCCTGCCTCTCTGCAGTCTGCCTGAGCTCACTGCATGCCTGCTTGGATTTTTCCAGCTTCCTTCTCAGCGCCGCCAGCTCCTCCTAGGGAAGATTGGGAAAAAAACACACATGGAGAGTTCCAGCATCCTTGGTTTATTTATGAAAACCTTGTTTTCTGTTCAAAATAAGTGGAAGAGACATAGCTGCCTTATTAGTAAAATTTACCAGGCAGTTTTGAAGGCTGCTCACTGCAAATTGCTGGGACTACAGCCCTTGACATGAATTCCATCGGAGGCAATGTCAGCTTGGGTGTGCGTAGAGCACATTTTATGAGAAAGCAGCAAACCTCAAAAGCCTGGGTTGAACAGCCAGAGGCCTGTATCGCGCCCAGGAAGTGTCCCAGGGCCCTGGCAGGTATCACAGCGCAGTGCAAAGGCACAGTGTTGGCTGTGATTCCTTTCCAGGCAGCAGGAGCTGCTCCGTGCAGCCTTGTCCTGCTTTGATGTCCAACACTGAGCAGAAGCAGAAGTGCAGAGTCCTGATAAAAACAGGGGTTAACGGGTGATGGGGCCTGATGGTTCCCAGGTGGGTTTAGGCAGCTTTTATTTCAGCTGAACCAGCCTGAAAACACCTTGTTAAAACCTCACTCAGGCAACAGGGAGAACAGGATGCCAGGGAAGATTGACTAGGAATTTAGCACTGATCTGCCCCATCCCACCCATCCCATTCCTCGGTACACACCTCTTTTGCACGGAGCTGGTCCTCCGCCAGGTTAACACTGAGCAAGGGCCGCACATGGCTCAGCAACTGCCACCAGAGCCAGTGCCTGACTGCCTGGAAGACCACCAGGTTCTTCTGGATGCAGCGGATGGCGAGGCGCTGGATCTGCGGGGAGACACAGCAGCAGTGACTCTCACCCAGCCAGGAAGGACCAGGCTGGGGCACCAGGCTGGAGGGGGATGAGGTGGCAGAGGAGGTCAGGGGATGGCAGTGTGGCATCTCACGGCTGCCCACGGGACAGGGCAAAGCGGGTACCCTTCAAAGGAGCTCAAAAGAGCTGTAATTTGGATGCTCTGGGCCATATCCCAGCAGTGCTGATCCGAGTGGGCACAGGTATCCCTAACCAACGGGATGGGTACCTTCAACCTCTTGAACTTCTGGCGGCTGAGGAAGCCCTTGCAAGCAGCCTGGAGCAGGGTCATCTTCTGGGTTATCAGCTTGTCACGCTGCTTCTCCAGTCTGGAGATGACCCCTGGCTTCAGGAACACCTGAGAGCAAGTACAGAGGTTACACACCCCCAGGACAGGGACTGAAACCTCTCCCTCCTCCTGTTTAACAGAAGCATTGACTATCACAACGTGCAATTCCTCAAAACCCTTCCCTTTGGATGCTGCCTGTTCCCCCCAGTGCAGGGATGGATGGACATCTCAGCGGCTTCTGACAGGTCAGACACAGCTATGCACGGGTAACACAGAGACATGCACAGGCAGTGCACAGATACACACAGACAATACAGAGATAAGCACAGGTAGCACACAGACAGGCACAGTAACACATAGCTGTGCACAAGTAAAACCAGCTACAAACAGGTAACAGCAACAGTGCATTAGGATAGCGAGCTACGTTGTTTTCGTTCACTGAACTGGTCACAAACACCATGTAAATGGTAGAGATCTGCTGATGCCATTGAATTCAGCCCGGTATCAACCTCTGAGTGTTTAAGGTATCTCTGGGTCACTGCCTGGCAAAGCTCTCGGGACAGAGGACCAGGACTTGGGATACAGGTGCTCACGACTATCGCAGCCCATTTGCATAACACAGCTTTAACAACCCCTGAAGAACACGTGTGAGGCCAGCGGGTGCTCAAAGAGCTGCATTTTAAAATGCCAAATTGAATCAAAGAACAATCCCAAGGAAACTCGCTCTCTCGAGCTAATGCCATGATTGCTCCACCACCTATTCAATTGCCTCATTAATGTCTGTATTAACTCCCCAACCCAGCAAGCTTCGAAGCCAGTACAAAATCAATGCTCAAAGCAACGGCAAAGCGAACTCCTCCACAACGAGATGTGACCGGGGCTGCCATCGTGCTATTGATTAATAACAAGGGTTCCAGAGAAGAGATAATTGCAAACTGTGCTGTGCAGAATAAAAGAAAGTTATTTTGCTCCACAGAGCTGTTTCATGAATTCTTTCTTTACGGACTGCAGAGCTGAAGGCAAGCACGCACAGGAAATTAATTTTTCTTTGAGACCATTACATTTGAGTTCAAACACTGTTGCTGTGACAGCTGCCTGGCTTTGCAATGTGAACCCCAGTCCACCAAACCCATGAACTGTTCAAGCCCCATTCCCTCCTACGAGACATCAATGCCACGAGGGGCTGGATTTTGTTAATCAGGTACAGATTTTATCCAGGGTACTGCTTTCAGATACGAATTAGGAGCCTTCTGTGCTGATTGTTGGTGAGGCTCATGTTCCCAGCCCACCTGATGCCATGTCGAGCAGTGAAGGTGAAGCTTTCTTCCCAGTTTGGGAAGCTTTGGGCAGCTGGCACGGGGTAGGCTGTGCCCCCCCACACCAAGAGCAATGGGGAAGCAGGGACTGGAGCCACCGTACCTGGCTGCGTCCTATGGCAATGCTCTTCTTCTCCAGATCCAGCGCCTGGAACAGCTCCTCTATAGCCTGTGGAGAAGGAGCACATTGTGGAATTGCTCAGGAAACATTTATACCCTGCCATGAGCCTGCTGAAATGGGGTGCAAGGATCCTTGGTCCTCAGGGGTGCCCAGTAAGGTGCATCCAGCTTATGGGCACCACGTAAAGGTACATCCAGCTCTGCTCTCCTTTCCTCTTCCCCATGCCAAAGCCCACCTTCCCAGTCATAAGTCCTGGTGTAAGGACTTTCTGTCCTGGAGGCTTTTGGTGGGATGAGGGGCAGAGATCTGCAGCTGCATGAAAGTTATTCCCCCTTTTGCTGCCATGCCTGGTCTGGAAGGACCCCGATGCCTGGACAGCCCTGGGAGGAGGTGACACAGGGGACAGTGAGAGCCTGTCCCAGTTACAACCACCTGCACTCAGTGCTCCCCTTCTGCTCACCTCACCAACAGCTTGTCCTATGAAGCCAAAGCAGGTGGGAAAGTACAGAATTCCCCCCGAGCCCACCAGCACAGCAGAGAACCCTCACAGGGATTCAAGCAGGAGATTAATCAGGGGGAGAAGCCTGAACTCAATTACTCTGAGCTTTGGACCGACACAGGAACATAACAGGCAGCAACACCAGACATTCCCCTGGGGCAGCAAACGCTGTCTGTCTGAATGGGTGGTAACAGAAATCCTCTGCTGATACTTCACTCCAGACAACATCCTCTGGCAGCCTCACACATCTCCTTCCCAAAGGACAAACCCATGGGATGAATATTTCACCATGGACCCAGGAATACCTTGTGCAGCAGAACTTCACTCCTGGTCTCACCAGCAGCCATGCAGGGGTGGGATGGAGTACACCAGGGAATGGGGATATGAACCACCACAGGGCATGAAATCCCGTGCTGGAGGCAAAGAAGCGCCAGCACTGTGGCTGTGCCCTGCTCCAGAGGCACTGCTGAGACTGGTGTAGGGCTGTGCAGCACGATACCACCCCCTCCCCACCTCCATCCCCATTTGATCCTCATCCCACTGCATCCCCACTCCCTCTCCATCCCCCTCTCCATCTCATCCCCATCCCAGCACAAGCATAGGGCCAGTTGTTGCTGCACTGTCACCTCACTGCTGATGAGCATCTCCCCTGCTCCAGCGGTCAGGTTAATGCCTCTTCCCAGGAAGCAGTCCCCAGCCAACAAAACCTTGCAGCAGCAAGCTCCAGGGAGGATGGGATTTTCCAAATCCCCTGCTTACACCCTGCTGACAAGACACCCTCTGCCTTCAACAGCATTTCAGAGCAATATTGACCTTTTCCAACTGTCAAACTTGTCTTATTAAATCCCGAGGTCTTAACTGTCTTTGCACACGCTGGCAGGCAGTTTGCACAACACAGCACGTGCCCAGCTTTAATTTTTCTCCTCTTAGCTCTTCCCAGCTTGCCCACAGCCTTATTCCAGGGGCTGGGATGGTTCTTCCATGGTTTTGCTACTAATTTATTAGGAAACAAATAAAACTGGTACATCCCCATCTTCCTTCCTGAGCTCTTTTGACTTTCAGACATTGTGGGACAAGGTGAGCAGCCACCCTGGGCTGTAGGTGATGCCAAATACCCCAGGAGACCCCATGGTCCCTGCTCCCTTGGGTTCCTGGGAATGCTGCCTGGCTTGTCCTCAGCCAGCCAGCTTTAAGGGATCCAGGAAGAGGGATGGAGTGCTGCCATGCTGGGCCACAGCAACGCAGAGATCCTGCCCTCAGTTTGTGCCCTGTCCTGCAAACCAGGACAAGCAGGAATCCTCAGCACACAGGATTGTCAAAGCCATTTACCCTTAAGTATTAAAAAGACACAATAACAGACTGAGTTCTCCAAGTCCTCTCCATGGTGCAATAATGCTCATGAGCACAGCCCACTCCAGGAATTTACTGCCTTGGCAAAAACAGTCCTCAGGGGAGAGACTCTGGGATGCAGAGCTGAGCTCAGCTGCCCTGCCAGACTACTGGAGGATCCATGTCCCTGCGTGCTCGGGCACCATGGGGAGGGTGAAGAGGAGCAGGAAGCAAAGCCATCCCCCAAATCCAGTGCTGCAGGATGCAGCCCCATGGACAGATCACTCCTGATCCTTGCTAAGGAGCTCTGAGAGCCCAGAGCCCAATCTGTGGGCTAGCCCAGAGACTCCCAGACCCGATCACCAATGCTGGTGTGCTGCCCAGAGCTGTGCTGAATGGGGTTTTCTCCTTCTCCTACCTCCTGAGGGCAGCCTCGTGTTTAGAATCATGGAATCATTTTGGTTGGAAAAGCTCTATAGGATCATCAAGTCCAACTGTTCCCACAGCACTGCCAAGGCCATCACTAACCCATGTCCCCAAGTGCCACATCCACACATCTGTTAAACCCCTCCAAGGATGGTGACTATCACTTCCCTGGGCAGCTTATTACAGGTCTTGACAGCTCTTCCAGTGACAGAATTTTTCCTAATATCGAATCTAAGAGCTCCAGGAATTGCTCCTCATGTCAAAGACAGCCCTGATGGCATTGGGGAGGGTTGAAATAGCTCTGGCATCAGCACAGCCCAACGTGGGGGTCTCAGCCTGTGTCCCCCAGCCAGCCTGGCACACACCTTGCTCTCATCTGGCACCTCGTAGGCAGAGGTGTGTTTCTTCATCACCTCCGGAGCCAGGACTTGGAAGCGCCTTCGGAACTGGGTGAGGAGCAGGCGATCCGTGTACCCTGGAGGCAGACAGACATGCTGGGGGCTGCACCACTCCTGGGGCACTGCCACTGGGACATTGAGGAGGGACCTGGTCAGAGAGGGCTGTGAAGTGTGGCATGTCCTCCTGTGCAGGTCCCTTTCCCCATGACATTAACTGTGACCGTGGTTGATGCAGGTCCAGCCCAATGCATGGATGCATCCATGCTCCAAGGGGAGCACGAGAGAACCCCATTGGAGCCGCAGCCACCCAGGCAGGAGAGGGGTTGGGAACCCCTGCAAAAAGCAGCAATAAAAATTTGGGGTGTTTCTGAAATGGGGCTGGTAAGAAGCGGGCGATGGGCAGAGCCTGGAAGGGCTGAGGCAGGGGCAGGGTGGCAGTGGTGGGTGGGACGGGCACAGCCCATGTGGCAGCGGCGGGGGCCGGACATACCAACGCGGTGCAGGCGCAGGGCGTCCAGGAGCTGGGTCCCCTCCAGCTGGGTCCTCAGGGCCACCACGTCCAGCTGTGGGGCTGCATCAGGTGGCGCAGGGGGACGAGATACCAGCCCTTCCGACCCCATTCCCGGGAGGAGGCAGTGGACAAAGTGCAGCTGAGACCGTCGGAGAAGGTTGGTGAGGGCGTCCTGTAGGGCAAACAGAGGTCAGTGGGGATGGAGGGGGACAAAGGGGCAGCACATGCTTGCAGTGGGAAATTCTCCCTGTGCACCTGCTGCAGTGGGTCTGGGTAGGTGAAGGAGTCACCTCCAAGCCCTTAGGAAGCATATTAGGAACAGCTCTGGTCAGAGAGATGAACACAGGGGTGCAGGTCCTAAGACTCTTCTCATATTTTCAGTCAATGAGATGCAAAAACTTACCAGGGTTCACAGAATCATAGAATGCTTTGGGTTGGAAGGGACCCCAAAGATAATCATGGTTGAGGGACACTGGGTGTAGGGCTTGCCAGGGACAGAGACCCCAAAATTGGCTGGCAAGGGAGTCAGCAGAGCCTCATCTCCGAGAGAGAGTTTGGGCACCTAATTACAGCTGAGAGCAGCAGGAACTTGGCATGTGCCCAGCACTAAGGGGTAGTTTACTGTCTGAGTGCTTAAGAGGATTAAACTGCGGCACAGCAAGGTTCTGTGTAATCTGCTCATGATCTGTTTGCCTGTGATGCTCTCCCTGAGTGACAGCAGCGCTGAGGAAGCTCATGGTCACCCGTGGCCAGAGCAGCATCCCGGGTGAGACACAGCCACAATGGTCACCCAGCTCCTGGGGCAGCAGGTGTCTGATGGGGGGGTGCAGGGCTCCTCCAGTAAGAAGGAGTGTGTCCAAGGCAGGGTCTCAGTGCAGGGTCACGATACTTCGTGCCATAAACCCCCCAACCCACAGCCACGAGGGTCCCGACAGCAGCACTCACCGCCTGCAGCTTGATCTGAGCACACACCGACCTCTTCCTCACAGCTGCGAAGCTGCTGGCGAAGGTCTTCCTCAGGCAGGCGTTGCGGTGCAGGGCGGCCTGGGATCGTCCCTCCAGCCCGGCCATGGCGCGGCAGGACAGCGGCGCCCGCGCGCGCGGCTGCACCAGCTCCCTCACCGAGGGGCTGCAGGGATGAGACATGGGATGGGGCACTGGGGCCACAGTGGGGGTGGGAGACCTTGGCTTCCCAGCCACTTTTACAGGGATGCAACAGCCAGGGCCCTAAATTCAGATTTGTGCTGCTCTGTGGAGTGGAGAAGGGTGCTGAGACGCCCCTCGCCCACTTCGCTCCTCTCTGGTCCAGGCACTGAGCTGTTCACTGCTGTAAAACCTCCCCTGAGTTGAAGCACAAAACGAAACAAGCCAGGAGAGTGCAAGCAGAAGGTTAAAATCCCCTGCGTGTGCAGACACCTGCAGCACCTCGGTTCCTTTTCAATTCCAATTTAGTTCACAAGTTCCTCAAAGCAGTGGGAAAACCTGGGTAGTTGCTGCACAGGGAGCTGGTGATGTCTCATGGCTCTGACATGTGCTGGACCCCCAACAGGCCATGGCCTGGGACATGGACACCTTTCACTAGACCAGATTGCTCCAAACCCCATCCAATCCAGCCTTGAATACTTCCAGGGATGGGGCAGCCACAGCTTCTTTTGGCAACCTGTGCCAGAGCCTCCCCACCCTCACAGGGAAGAATTTCTTCCCATCTAACCCTGCCCTCTGTCAGTGGAAAGCCATTTCCCCCCTTGTCCTGTGACACAGACACAATTCTGTGTCTCCCCCTCCATGACCAAAGCCAGGGCAGGTTTGCAATGTCCAGCCCCAGCTTCATGGCAGGGTTATCCCCATCCCACTCCTGCAGGCACAGGGCTCACCACTGGCACTGCGAAACCTCCCTGGTACTTACACTGTGGAATGCTGCAGCACCTGGATGGCGTTCTGGGCTGAGAGGTTGAACTTGGCTTTGCTGACCCAGCCCGTGAGGTCGTAGCGCACGGGGTTGGTGCCCAGCTGGTGGGAGATCTCGAAGTGCAGCGCCTGCTCACACCGGCGCATGTGCCCGTCCCCTGCAACAGCAACAGCAGCCCAGAGAAAAGTCAGATGTTTAATTGGCTGCATTTCTCAAATTTCCAAAGCCAAATGGCAATGCCAGAGGCTGGGCAGCTGAGCTGAGCCCAACTTACCCTCCTGGTCGGGTCCCTTCGTGATGAAGTAGGAGCAGAGGCGGCTGAAGGCAGTGCTGTCCCCGGAGCCTGGGATCAGCACCTCCTCGTCCAGGATCCACAGCAGCCCCCGGCGATCAGCCCCGAGGCTGCCTGGCAGCACCTGTGGCTGCTGAGGGAGACAGCCCTTGGTGCTGGGAAGGGGCAGGAGGGCTGTGGGCTCCAGCCACAGCCACGCCAGCCCATTCTCTCCAACCTGCTCCCACTGTCCAGCTGTGGCCATGAGACCCTCCTAGACTGATCTATCTCTGTTCGTCACCCTGAGCCCTACCCAGTGACAGTGCTCCAGAGGAGGCCACCATCCCGGCTCTGCAGCCAGGCTGGGAGGGGTGACAGGGAGCAGGGCTTGGCCAGGGAGGGCGCTTGTATTTTAAAAAGCAAAAAAATCTCCTGGAGGATGCTGTGCCCTTCCCTGCAATACTCCAGGCTGTTCTAGGACACTCCATAGGGTCCCTCTATGCCCTTTGAACCCACATTGCCCTGAGAAGGAGGATGCAGAGCTCCCATGGTACCCACAGGGACAGGGTACCTGGGAGCAGCTCAGGTCGATGATGGACAGCGTGGCCAGTGGAGAGTGCTCTGGAAGATCAAAAGACACCTCAACATTTTCCTGGAAAACATTATTTAAAAGCTTGCTTCAGTCATGGTCTGGCATTTGGAAGCCAAGAGGAGATCCATTGCCAGGGGTGTGAAGGAAGGTAGGGATCCAGGGGAGCTGAGCTGCCACTGGAGCTACCTCTGCCGTGACACGGAGGAATGGCCATGCCTGTCCCTGTGGGCAGGGCTATTGGGACCCCCTTGCTCCATGGAATGGTGCTTTGGGTGTGTCAGACAAGCTGGATAAATCATGGAGGTGATAATAATTGATGTATTACAACTGATAATTATTTCTTAACAAGAAAGCAGCAAGAAAGTAATCAATTATTTAATTTGCAGCTTGCAGGTGTTGTTTTTCTCCCTCAGCCAAGGGCTGCAGGGCTCATCCCCCTTCCCAACACCCCCAGCACCACATCTGGGAGCCCCCCAGAGGGGCAGGGGGAGCATGGACTGAACCGGGGATGCTCAGCAAAAGCCATGGCTTCAGTGTCTCTCCATGGCAACATGGAGAGGATCTGCCAAGGAATATGGGTCTGCAGGCAGAGTAGAAAGCAGCAGGGGAGACCCAGTTTCTCTCTGCCAAAGGCATGTGCCACTGTCATCCCATGTGTGACCCAGCACTGGGAGTGAGTGATCCCAGGGCTCACAGAGCAGTCCTGGGGCTCACAGGGATGTGTCCTGCACTATCCTTAGCCAGCAGGAAAGCCCAGGCAAGAGGAGCCTGCGGAGCCCTCCGGCATTCCAGGCTCAGGCAATTACGGATTCATCACTAGTGAAGGGCACATCTATCCTTACTCGGCGCAGGTGATGTGTGAGTATTAAACCATGGGAATTCAACCATTTTCCCAGGGCTAGAGGCATTAAAGTAACTCCTGCAAGCCTAATAATAAGTTCATCTTTGCTTGTAGGTTTTTCAGCAGCTTATTTCTGCAATAATTTATCATTTTCTTTTCTATTCTCTATTATTCATCATCTGAGGAAAAAGTCAGCTGTGCCAACAGAAGGGCACAAAGCCTCCTGAGCTGGAGCAAGTATATCATAGAATCCCAGAATGGTTTGGTTGGAAGAGACCTTAAAAATCACCTAGTTCCAATGCCCCTGCCATGGGGGGTTCCACAAAGACACCAAGAGAGCCTGGCATCTCTGGCACGTCAGAAACAGCCAAGAGGATCCAGGACTGGGGCAGGAGGGAAAGAGAGACACAGCTCAAGCCTACAGTTCTGTACAGACTCCCCATTTCTGTGACACCCCTCCCGTTAAAGCTACTGAGTTATTCACTCACACCATGACAGGGCACAGGGATCTACCGGGCCAAAGGCAGCCCCATCCCCAGGCACTGGGAAGTTGCTCCCCAGGACGCTGCTCCCAGCCCTTGCTCCTCACCTCTCTGTACCTCTCCATCTCCAGAAGGAAGGTTTTCTCATAGAAGAGCCCCTGCAGCCGCTCCTGTACGTAGTTGTGGCACAGCTCTTCGAAGGTGGCCGCTCGCTCGGCCCGCTGGTGCCGCGGGTTCTGGAAGCCAGGAGTGTCCACCACGATGATGGAAGCCATGGAGAGGTGCTGGGAGGAGAAGGACCTGGGAAAAGAATGACACACATCACTGGGATTTACCCACAGACTACGGCGGATTAGTGGGATTTGGGGAGACCTCCAGGCTTTAGGATGCTGGCCCCATAACCTGCGAGGTGAAGTGTGCACACACACCACACAGGGAGGGACGGACGAAAGAGAAAGTTTATCGGACGAAAGAGAAAGTTTATCGTGGGGTTGGGGTTTATAAGGCTTTTAGGAGGGGCAAAAGGGGACCAATCACAAGTTCAGGGTCACAGAGAAAAAACCATCAGGTAAAGGGTCAACAACCAATAGAAAGGGGTTAACAAGGGACCAATGAGAAACACCTCAGGACACCTTCCCAGGACACTCTGTGTGAGACAAGAGCTTCACAGGGGGTGTCTGGGAGAGGGAGACAGTGATACTGTAGAAAATAAAAAAAGCCATTTTGAAAACATGTTTAAACCACAGTAAAAACTTCTGTCTCCACAACGTTTGAGCTGTTTTTCTCACCAATCCATCTCTGACAGGAGTTTTTCCATCCTGCATATGGCAAATCCATTGCCACAACAGACAGCAGAAGTGATCCCAACCAGGCACTCATGGTGCCAGGTCTCTGTGCCAGGCTGCCTGTGCCGCAGGAGGGCAGGACAAGGGAGGTCCCAAGTGCCAGTGTGCTTTCCCAGACAAAGATTTTCACACAACTTCCTATTTTTCCAGCAGGCAGCAGTCACTTGCTTCATTCCTCTCTCTGGAGAGCCCCAGCAAAGATCCCTCCTCAGCAGCCCCTGGAAAAGGGGCTGCCACTCCCCAGCCCCCCAGTGCCCGGCAGTTCTGTACCTGTTGATCAGCGAGACGACAGCAGCAAAGAGCTCCTCGTAGAGCCCCGAGGCCATTCCCTCCACACACTCCACACCCGTCATCTTCGGCCCTGGCACAGGCGGAGGGAAGGTCAGGCACAGACACGTCATTTCTTTCCAGCCAAGTTCAGCCAGCATGGAGCTGAGATGGTACTCAGGACTGCAGCCCACTCTGCTGCCCTCTCAGTTTGGGGATTTTCCCCTTTTTATAGGCAGGGCTCTCACAGCGTTTAAGACAAATCACTTATCTAAATTCGCCTGATCTTTGTGTGTCCCTAAGGAAAGACAGGCAGGGCCAGCTGGAAAACTGAGGGCAGCACAGTCAGTGATTTAATTAATATTAACATACCTAAATGGGCCTCACTGCCTGAGAAGAACAGGGTGCATTGCCTCTCCACACAGACCCTCCACCTGCTCCCAGTGCAGCACCCCGCAATTCCCTATCCCCCAAAATAAAGGGAACAGGGATGCAGCATCCCAGTACCTGCCGGACTCTCCTCAGCCAGGGGTGGCTGCCGGCCCCGTGCCGTCACCTGTGCCAGGATCTGCTTCAGGTGGTGTTTGAAGACGGCGGTGCTGAGCTCCTCCGGGTCACAGCCCAGCACCTCGGCGGCGCGGCTCGCGCTCTCAAACTTCATGAACTGCTTCCTGCCGACTGGGGAGGGGGACAGGGGCACAAGGGAGTCAGGCAGGGCCAGCACCAGCAGAGCTGGGTGCAGGCTCAATGTCTCCAGCAAACATCCCACCTGCTCCCATGTGCATCTCCAAAATCAAAATTATTAAGGCCAAGTCCAGGGACCAGATGAACCCTGCGACCCATCCAGGCTTCCACCAGCCAGGCATCGGTAACACCGTGAATTTCAAGAGTTTCGGTGGAGCAAACCAGCAGATGTGCTGATGGGAACTGATGGGTTTACAAAGCAATCCCTCGAAATCCTGGATCACCTTTCTTGGCCCCAGCAGTGTTTGCTGTCCCGGCAGCCCAGGAGCAGCACTCCTCCCCACAGTAGCGGCAGAGCTCCACTTGGTACTTATATCCAGTGATAAGGACACCAACTTAATGATTAAAATCAATAGGGAAGTAATCTATAGGATTAATCCTTTTACAAATCCAGGTGCTGTGGAGGCAGCTGGCCAGCACATGCTCAGGAACACAGGGAATGAACAGAAACAGGAGGAGGCAGGCAAAGTTGCCCAGAGACCTCAGGATAGCACTTCTGGGTGGTGGATGAGAAGCCTCAGGGGTCACAGCTAAGATGGACCCTTAAAACACAGCTGGTGGCTGGTGGCAGGGGAGAGGCTTTGGGATGGAGAGCGAGAGGTGGCACACCCTGGGAAGCCCATGGGGGACCCACTCCCAGCCAAGGGGATGCACAAAGCAGGACTTGAGGGCTGGGTGCTGCTTCACAGCACACCCATGAAAGTCAACCCCCCTTTCCCTTCCCCTTTGATCCTTTCTCAGTATTTTCTATGCTGACTGAAGGACTCCAACATCAAGGGCTGTGCTGGAGCAGGCAGAGGAATTGCCTCAACACTCTCGGCTTTGATTTATTCTGTTTTCACTTGTTCTAATCTGAGCTGGCTGGACAGAGGCTGATTCCTGACAGACAAAAGATTTCTGCCTGCCAGTGAGCGGAGAGGCTGAGGAGCCAGGGCTGCACAGGCCTGCTGTGCCAGCCGGGCTCCCAGAGCTGGCATTCCACACTGGCCACTCCAGCACCCCGAGAAAAATGAGAGGCTCCACTCAGCCCCAGAGGAGCCCAGGCACCATTTCACACTTCATAGACTATAACCAGCAGCAGCATCACACGACCCTCTTGGGTGCAATGTGACGATGGAAAACTCAACAGCTTTAACACATAAAGGGAATTACTTTGACCCATTTGATATTTAAGAGGAGCAGGAGGAAAACACAGGGTCAGCATCAGCCTTGCCTTGCTCACAGAGACCCCAGCTCAGCCTTTCCTGCTACAGCCCTGACACAGGCCCAGGCCATCTCTGCATTGCTCCGTGCCTTGGTTTCCTGGGTCTGAAACAGGGATGTTCCTTCTCCTGCCTCCCAGGGCACGATGCTCCCCTGGTACCACCACCCTCTGCAGGGTCTGGAGGAGCTCAGAGCCTTCCCCACCTGACCAGCAGGTTCCAGACCCCACCTCCTGTGTGGTTTCCTCCCTCTCAGGGGTTCAGGACCCTGGGTTTGCAGCAGCCTCACTGCAGTGACTGGGGGGGGGGTTGTTCTGACCATGACACAGACCTGCGGTAGCACCAGGAGGATTTGGTGATCTGCAGCTGCTGGAATCACATCACCTCCATTACAGGTGAGGGCTGGGAGCCCTCAGGGAGCCACAGGGCTTTATTTTTATATCAGCCAGCAAAAGGGACAGCTTGAGAGTGAGCTGAACGCCGACCCCTGCTGCGCCCCAAACCTCCCTTCCGCTTAAAGAGGCAGTGAATAAAGGAAAACAGGGGATATCCTGCAGCCCACAAAGGGACTGAAGCACTCAGGTGAATGGTACCCAGGATGCCCCGCTGGCCTCTGGCTTCCAGGCTGCTTTCCCACTAAGAGCTGCTCTAACACGTTTCAAAGGCAGCGGGAAGGGCTGACACCGGGATGGAGCAAAGAAGGCTTTTGAAATTCAACCTTTTCTTCTCGGTGTTTTTGTAGCTGCAAATGCATTTTCCACTCTCATCCAGGAAGAGGTGGTGCTGTTCCCTCCTAATTTATCCCTGAACAAACTGAATGTGTGAGGAGAGAAGGGGAAAAGGTGCCTTTAACCCACCCTGGGGCCCATTTAACACGTGCCGGGGCCGCCGCGGGGACGGGGATGGCTCCTGAATGCCGTGAAAAACCAGCACTGAGGTTCCCTTGGGTGAGATTTCAAGGAGAGGATTTTGAATACACAACATCAAAGGGCGTGAAAGGGGAAGGGAAGAGATGGCTATCCTGAGACAGGTTGAACCACATTAAAAGCCTCGTCGCCCCCACTGAGACTTTTGCTCCATCTGGCTTTGATCCATTTTTTATCCATATTTCCTTTCATTTCTCCCCTTTCGTTGACACACGATGGGGGAATCAATACCAGAGCGAGCGACACTGAGACATGCTCTGGTTGTTAATCCCACACCTGAGTGTGCTTGGGAGCCGCAGCCCTGTCTGGACCCGTTGTTCCCATTCCTGTTCACGCTGAAAGAATTGCACAGTATTTGTTGGATACAGCGCTCAATTCCCTCCCAGACTTACAGGGGGCTCAGGACAGAATGTGCAGGAAGTCTGAGCAAAGCAGCTTCAGCTTCCCCACCACTGTGACCATCCTTCCACCTGCCCTTGAGCTGAGCACTCCCAAAACGAGACGTGCCTCCAAAATTTGCTCTCCTGAAAACTCGCAGGCCAGAAGGGCCTTCATTTTTTTTTTGGCAAAAACCTTCTCACACACATCAGCCTGAGACCAGGGGGTCATCTTTAGAAGTTGGAAGGGCATTAGGAGATGGAGATGGGGAAAGAGAACACCAGAGAGGAGAAAGAGAACTCTAAGTGACGCCAGCATCCATCCTTTTAAAACAATTAATAAATGATTAATGGCATAAATTACCATAAGATGTGTTATGACATGTTGCAGAGACATTTATAAATGTCTATGGCTTAGTTTATGGCAGCTTTTATGCAGCCCTCATAAACTGAAGTGTGTAAATCAATGTGGCTGCATCTAAACCAGGTTAGAGCACGTCCTAAAATAATTTATAAGGGATAAGGCAATTTCTATTCGCCTGTATTAACAAAGTCTTTATAAATACAATCTTCATCCAGACTCAGCCTATTATAATTCAGTTACTGTGGCAGACACTCAAGAGATCATAAAATCAGTGCTACCTGAAGCTGTCCCTTTGCAGTGTCATTGGGGACAACGTGCAAAAGAACAAGTCACCCACCCTAGTCCTTCCCAAGGAGCTGGCACAAGGTGATGTCCTGCAGCCCTGTCCTATCCACATGCAGCTGGGGATCCCCTCCAGAAGCCCCAGCGGGACAGGAGACCAGCACCCCACATCGCCCAGCTCCTCCATGGGTGACAAGGAGCTTGGAGCCACCAGAAATGGAACAGCCTCGGGATGAGCATCACCCCCGCACACCTCCCCATGTCCCACACACCCCAGCACCAAACACCACCAGGACACGTCTCCTCCCCGCTCCAACCCCCAGCCCCAAGATGAGGTGTAAGGGATGGAGAGGCAGGAGCTCCCTCACCTTTGCAGGAGGCCCCTCACCTCTGCAGGAGCCCCCTCACCTTTGCAGGTGCCGGCAGCTCCCAGGTGGTAGATGCCGGCCAGGACACGCCAGACGGCCGCCTGCTCCTCCGCGGTGATGCCCAGTGTGCCCATGGCAGCCCGGAGCTGGGCAAAGGCTGTCGAGGCTCTCTGCTTCTCCTCAGGCTGCAGGAAGGAAGACATGGGGGGGAACATCACCGCCTCTGCCAGAGCATCATGGCACGGCTGGTACACGACAAAAGGGAGTATGGAAACCATCAGGCCAGCAAGGAAAAGCAATAAGGGACCCTTGCAACCGTTTGGGCAGATGGAGAAGTCCCCAACAGGTTCCTCAAGAGCTTGGTGTACATTGCTGTCATACGAGGACACATAATTCCCACTTTGAGAGTGTCTACAGAGCAGCAGCTGGAGATGTTTTATATCACAGAATCCCAGAGTGGTTTGGGTTGGAAGGGACCTTAAAGCTCAGCTCATCCCAACACCCTTCCATGGCCAGGGACATCTTCCACTAGACCAGGTTGCCCAAGGTTCCATCCAACCACATCCCCTCACTTCTCACCAAACACACCTACCCACAGCTGTGCAGGTCCCAGCCACCAGCAGGACCTGCCATCTCCCACCTCCAGCACTCCTGTGCTCCCTGAGCTGAGGCTGCTCTGTGCAGCCCTGGCGCTCCAGGCTCCAGCATCCCACCTTGGCCAGGACCAGTGGGAAAAACCTCCATGCTGGGATGGGGAACCCACACAAATTGTGGGCTATGAAAAGAGAGTAAAACCCCATCTCTGAACCCAAATGTGCTACATCAGCAGTGTGAGGACCTCATTGTGCCCTCCTTGGAGCTGCTGCTCCAGCAACTGATTCCCTTGGCTGCTGGACCGGCACAGGAGCTCCCTAATGAAGATGGAATATTGGATTCATCGATAGATGATGTAACTGCAAATTGCTGCGATTCATCCCAGCGCTTTGGCTCTGCAAAAGGCTCAGGCTAATGAGGGCTTGGAGCTGGGAATCAGCTGAGGAGCTTTTAGCCCCTAAAAATCACATTCTGGGCTCCTGAAAGGATACACTTGCTCCCAAGAGCTGCTGCTGCAGGGGAACATCAGGGCAGCGGACCCCAGAGCAGCAGAACCTCTTCCCAACCTGGCTGGGGCATTTCCAAAACCCAAGCACAGATCCCAGGTAGGGCAGCCCCAGTCCTGACAGCTCCCCTGGGACTGTTGGAGGAGTGCTGAGGGCTGTTTGGGCAGACCCTTCCTCACATCCTGACATTCACTCCCTCCCTCCATGCTTCCAGTATAGGGGCATCATCACGACTCACTCAGCACCCAAGGACCCCAAGATATCCTCTTACTGGGGGTGACAAAGGGAGTGCACTGCAGCATTCCACTGCAGGTGGACACAGGGCTCCAGCATTTCTCTCTCCCTACCTTTGTGAATGGCTTGATCCCAAAGGAATTGCTCTCAGCCAGCTGGTGCAGATGCAGCATCGTCCTGGGAGTAGTTACAGAAAATGAGTCAAGCTCCCTCCTCACCTGCCCCAGTACCACCAATCCCCTGCCCTCCCCCTGGGAGCAGCTCTGGCACCATCTGAGGGACCTGGGTGGGACAGGTCACCACAGAACTGCTCCATGCAGGGGGACGAGCTGACATGTGACACACCAGGAGCCTTCACCCAGGGACACACAGCCTGGGGGGAACCAGAGCAAGAGGGAAAGGGATCCCTGTCTCACTTGTCACCTCAATTTCAGCTTTAGTGAAGAGGCAAAAAAGTGCCAGAAAATGCCCCTGTTTCACCAAAAATCTCTAATATAAGTGTATACAGACCCCTGCAGTGTCACTAACACAGTCGCTTTCACAATCTCTTATCAGAGGGGTCTCAAAAATCCCACTGGATGGGCAGAATTTACATATATACAGTGGGGAGCCTCTGGGCAGAGGGTACCCACCAGCTGGGCAGCCGGGGGGGGGGAGCGGAGCCACCTGGTGCCATGGGAGCCTCACACCCACCTCTCTGCCACATCCAGCCCCGCCAGCATCAGGGGGAACACGTTGAAGCTGCTCTCTCCATCAGGCTGCTGGGCAACACGGGCTCTCTCCAGCAGCAAGGTCTGGGGAGGGAACAGAGGGCACTGGAGATGGTAAGGTGCTACTGGGATCTGTCAAGGAGGGGCTGGATTTCTCCTTGCAGGGCCAAGGCTGGATTTGGAGGCTGCTCTTTCTGCCCAGGGCTGTGCAAGCAAATTGGGCCCCACGAATAAAGGGACAATATTTCAGTCCATGAGTGCAGCACTCAAAGTCCCACCACACCTCCAGAGGTCTGAGAAGTGTGATGGCCCTGGCAAAGATACTGCAGGATCTGGATAAGTCACTGCCTGGGCTTGAAACAAGCTCAGATCAGCTCCAGCCTTGCCAAAAGTGTTCAGTGTCAGCGCTGACCCCAGAGCTGGGTGTGTGTGTCCCCCGCCAACTGTCCCATCCTCCCATGAACATCCCAGGATGGTAATAGTGGACACATTCCCACTCCTGCACAAGGACAGCCCTGCCAGGCCACTGGCTCCCTGCCAGTGCCCAGGGCAGAGCAGGGGCAGCAGTGAGAAACCCTGGTGCTCCAGGCCTGTCCTCCCTCAGAGGAGGCCCGGGGGCATAGGCAGCTCTGATTAAAGAGCCTTTGATAAGAGCCCTGATGGTGATAAAAGCCCTCAGAGGTGTCAGCTTGAGGCGGCTGTGTGAGGTACTGCTAATGAAACGCTGAATTATACATTTCCTCATAAACATTTCATCCCAGCTCTGCTCCAAGCTCCCTGCCAGGGAGGGGGACGGGCTGACAGAGCTCCTGCTCAGGTGCCATTTAGGCACCTGTGGTCCAGGAGAAGCAGGGAGTGGAGCAGGGGGCAGAGCATCACTCCTTGCACCCAGCCTGACCGGGAAGCACAGCACAGGAGTGGTTCATCCCCACCCCAAGGACCCCCAGTTTCACCCACAGCCCTCCCATCTCACCAGGTGACAGGTACCTGGAGATGAGCAGCAGTGATCTGGCCAGTGGCACTGAAATCCAGCGACAGGACCATGGAGAAGCGCGTGGAGCTGCTGTTGTGGCCAGTGGTCACTGACCCAAAGGCTGCCAGGACTGTGAACATCGCCTGGATCTTCTCCACTGCAAAACCAGCACCAGAGCCCCGCTGAGTCCTGCTGCATTCCTGGAGGAGGCATCTCCTCCTGGCTCACCTCTGCCTGCTCCTCCCAGGGGTCTGTCCCAGCACTCGGGGAGCTGGCTGGGCATGGGGTCAGCATCCCACACCAGGGGAGCAGGTGCTTGCTGATAGGAAAGGGATGTGCTGTCCTGACCGCGCCTCCACCCTGGTCCGGGCCATTCGTCAGCCCTTTGCAGGAGCACCGTGTACCCAGAGAGCTCCGAAATCCAACCCTGCCCTCTAAAGCCACTGAGTGCTGAGCAGCACTTCCTCTCACGTCACCAGTAACCTGATCAGGTGGGAAAGTGCTGCCTCAAGCACGGGAATAATTCAAGTAATTCCCTCCTGGTGCTCATGCTGGCAAATCCGTTGGGTCTGCGATGGGGATCGTGGTGCTCACAGCCACACCGGCGCCAGTGGCACTTGCAGCCACATCGGCCGCTCGGAAGGCACCCCAAGGAGCATGAATTAGGCCAGGAATGGGGAAAACCGAGGCCATTAGACGGAAACAGCATCACCTTTGTGTTTGGGTGCACCCAGCCTGCATAATCTCCATGTGTTGCCCCTGCCCAGCACCCAGCACTGTCTCTGTGGGGGCTGCCAGCAGCCCCCTGCCCTGTACCTGAGACCCTGCCGTCCACGCTGCCCGCCGTGCCCACCAGGTACTCCAGGGCACTCTGGCAGCACTTGGTCCTCCCGGCCCCACTGCGCCCCAGGGGGATGATGGCCTGGTCCTGCCGCTGCATCAGCAGGTTCCTGTAGGCTCTGTGTGCCAGCGAGGAGATGTGTGGGGGCAGGTTGTCCTGCTTCCCCCTGGGAGCCTGCGGGCAGGGAGAGAGTGGTAGAGCACAGCCCAAAACCAAACAGGTTTTTGTAGACAAAAACCTGAAGACATTCACACTCAGGGTGACAGGTTTCTCCCCACGGTAAAGAAGCCCCCAAGATTGTGTCCTCAGATCAATCCCTTCCCCAAGCATCTCTAGTCGTGAGTGTTCTCAGAGCCCCTCCAGACCCGAGCATCCCTGGCCCTCAGTATCTTCAGAGCATCTCCCCTCCCCGGGCATCCCTGGTCCTGAGTGACCTCGGTGCACCCCTCAGAGCTACCCTGGTCTTGAGTGTCTCCAGAGCATCCTTGCCCCGAGCATTCCTGGTCCTGAGTGATCTCAGGGCATCCCCAGCCCTGAGCATCCTCAAAGCATCCCCGCCCCGAGCATTCCTGGTTCCGAGTGTCCCCAGAGCACCCCCGGTCCCAAGTGTCCCCAGAGCCTCCCCGCGCTGTGACGGTCCCACGGTGCCACCTGCCGGCAACCGCCACACCGGCGCCCTCCGCCACTGTCCCCACGGGGGTCGGTGACGCTTCCCACGGGAGATCCCGCTGTCGCACGGTTCCCCCCGCTCACCTTCCCCGCGCCGCCGGCGGGCGCGGGGCCGGGCGCGATGGCCACCAGGTTGGGCCCCGCGTAGGTGCAGGGCAGGCGGGCACGGAACCGCTGCCGCAGTGTGTTCAGGACGCTGCACTCGTTGAGGCTGATCAGCGCGGCCAGATCCTCGGCCTGATCCAGGCTGGGTGGGTTGGTCTGTGGGAGGAGAGCCAGAGACACCTCGAGCTCTGCTCTCATGGCACAGGCTGTGCCGGACCACGGTGGCACCCCGACACCTGGGAGCCAGCCAGCCTGGGGTGATGGCCTGAGAAGCATCATCATGCCCAGGCACTGCCCTGCACCAGGGCTCCTTTTCCTGCACCAGCCCAAAATGGGGAGGGGGCTCACCCTCTGCACGCTGTCCTCGTCCACCTCGGTGACGGTGCCGTCCTCGTCCCGGCGCACCCTCACCCTCCCTGCTGGCAGCTCAGGTGTCCCCACATCTGGCTTCAGCTGTGTGGCTGCAATGAGAGGCTAATGAGTCTCTCCAGCCTGGCACAGCTGAGACAGGCCGGGGCAGAGCCCGCTGTGGCGTGGGGAGGTGCCAAGGGGTCAAATCCAACCATGGCTCCACTGGGGCACAGATGGGCACTGTACCAGCACAGCATCCAGTGCCCACCCTGCTCCCAACACATCTTTGGTGCTGGAGAGCAAGGGCAGAGCAAGGCAAGTTACCGAGTGTGAACCCGTCCTGCTGGATGAGCCAGACCTTCTCCGCTTCATACCAAACGTCCCTCGGAGCCTGCAGGGAGGATAGAGGGGAATTGGGCAAGAGTGGGAGGAAAACTGAGCTGAACAAACTGCCTTTGCCCCCCTGGACAGCAACACTTCCAGCCAGACCCCCTGGCCCTCTGCTTCCTGCCCGTCCAGCCCCAGGTGTGCCTTCCCTCCAGCCCCCAGCTGAGCCCATGGGAATGGGAAGAGCTGCATGAAACCAGAAAATTACATCAGTGCCCCAAAACCCTGAGTAACATCCACGTTACCTGGTCCTTGTCTGTGCTTTCGCCTGATGCCTCTTTGCCCTGGTCCTCGATCATGCTCTTGCTCATCTCTTTGCTCTTTCCAAGTGTTTCTTTAGCCTCGTCCTTGTCAGTGCTCTTGTCCATCCCTTTGCTCTCTCTCAGCATCTCTTCACCCTTTCCGAGCTCTTCCTTCACCTTCCCCATCTCCTTTCCCACATCTCTGGACTTCTCTTGGATTCCTCCCAGCTCCCCCTTGAGCTCCTCTGACTTGTTTGTGTTTTTTTCAGGCTTTTTGAATTCCCTTGGCTCCTTCTTGCCACCTCCAACATCTTTCTTCATCTTCTCCAGCTCTTTCTTGGCTGGAAACAGCTCCCTCTGGGCTCTCACCTTGGCTGGGGGCTCCTCGTGCCTTGGGGGTGTCCCCTTCTCCTTCTTGGTGCTCTTGGGGTCTATCCCCTTGGATGAGTCCCCCTCCTTTGGTGGGACTTTGCTGCCACGCTGGGGGCCCTGGCTGGGGGCAGGGACTGGAGCTGGAGGGATGCCCCCTTGCTGGGTGTCCTTGGGGCTCTTCTTGGGGCACAACAGCTTTGCCACCTTGGGAACCTCCAGACGAGGGGTCTCTGCTGGTTTGGGAGGGATCTTCGTTGGTTTGGAGGAAGCCTCTGCTGGTTTTGGGGATGCTGTCTCTGGTTTGCGAGGGGTCTCTGCTGGTTTTGGGGGTGTTCCTGCTGGTTTTGGGGATGTTTCTGCTGTTTTTGGGGATGTTTCTGCTGGTTTTGAGGATGCCACCACTGATTTGCGGGGGGTCTCTGCTGTTTTTGGGGGTGTCTCTGCTGGTTTGAGGGCAGCCACTGCCAGGCTGGGTGCAGGGGATGGAGTTTTTCTGGGGATGGCCCCCGGTGCAGCTTTTTCAGGGGGCAGCTCCTTGCATGGGGGGGCTGTGACCCCCTTGCCCCCCTGCCCCTCTACCTTCAGCCCGTTCCGCAGTGGCTCCTCACTGGCCCCCCCTCCTCTGGCAGCTGGGGCGTCCCTGGCTCGGGCCTCACCGTCCTTCCCCACGGGCTGCCAAGCAAAGGAGAGGAGCTGAATCTGACAGGGACAGGGCAAAGAACCCAACCTCAGCCCAGCCCTGGGAGCTGCAACCCCACATGGTTTGACCATGCCACGTACAGCCCTCGCCCTGTACGGAGCTCTAGCCCTGACCCGCTCTCTCTGAGCGCAGCCAATGGCTGTGCATGGTTTCTTGGACCTGGCTGCAGGGTGGCAATCAGTGGTGGCCTCCTCCTCCCCCTTGGCCACATCCCGACCCTCCACCTGCCACGTTCTGGGTCATTGCTTGGTGCTGTTCCTGGAGACGCCCCACGTGCTCCCCTTCCTGCACTCTTCACTGAACCAGAGAGCCTCACACTCTGCTTAATTACTCACCTTCCAATTAAGCAGGTCAAGAATGGCAAGTTGCATTAAGGAACTCTCCAGCATTAATTGCTCGAGGCTGGGAGCTGGGCAGGGTTGCAGCTTGCTGCAGCCACCACGCTGCAAGCCTGGGCCTCGCTGTCCAGCCCAGCTCATGCAAAACACCCTCAGATTCCTGACTCTGGCCAGTGTCGTGGGACTACACAGCCCTTCAGCCCCCAAGGAGTTTCTCTGAGCTGGGGACAGCTGGGGACACCCAGGGACACAGGGACAGTGGCCCAGCAGGACACGCCGGTGCAGTGTGGGGTTCACCACCACTCACCTCCTCCTTCCCGCTCGCCTTGCTCTCCTTCCTCTGTCTCGCTGCCTTGGCCTCCTTCTCGGTCTCCCGCACGAGTTGTTTGATGAACCCCCCGGGGATGACCGACAGGAGCAGGGGGGGTGTGGACGGGGGCGGCCCCCGGTCCTCGTCCCGTATCTGTTCACAGGAGCAGAGGTGGGTTACAGGGTGGGCACGGGGACAGGGCACGGGGACGGCACAGCACAGCCCTGTGGGCACGTTAGTGGCAGTGGAGCTGGGAACAGCACTCTGCTCTGCTCTGCCAGTGGCTGCAGGCATTGCCCAGGCTCCCAGCAAGGCCACAGGCCACCCATGGGCACCAGGCTGGTTCGGGTATGCTGTGGCGAGCAGAAGCACTGAGTAGAAAAGCCCACAGAGAAGCACCTGGATTTCCACAGCCACCGAGGGCTGGTGCAGCAGGAGCCCACGTGCACTGCCATCTCTGCCCCAGCACGGCCACAGGAGGATCTGTCCTGGCTGCAGTGAGTCAAGAAGCAGCTCCAGCATCACCACATCCACATGCAGCCCTGCAGGTCCATCCCTATGTGCCAGGCCCCAGGCCAAAACCAGCCCCACTTCCCACAGCTTTCCCAGCCACAGCCCCGCTCAGCAGCACCAGCACCAAACCCTGCGGCCTCAGCCAGGCTCAGACAGGCAGAGACCCTTGTGCATCCAACAGCAGCAAAATCACCCAAACCAAAACAATCAGGCTGCAAAGGAGCCTGGAGCCAGCAGAGTTGGACACAGCAGGAGCAAAGTGTGCAGGGAGCTGTGGGGATGCAACCCCAGAGGCTGCTGCAGTGCAACCCCCCCAGGACTGAGCCCCCGGGAAGGCACGAGCACCCAGCCCCGAAACACCACCGGGGCCACCCCGGACCGAGACTTTCCTTCTGCTCCCAGAGCGCGAGGCGCGAGGAGATGGCCATGGTGGCAGCGAGGCTGGACAGTGCTGTGGGGAGAGACATGGTGACACGCCAGGCAGAGAGAGAGGAGAGAGTTAGCCAGGGGCTGCTGCTGGCCCCAGGGCTGTGCCACAAGCTATGCCGGGCCGGCAGCACAGTGACCTTGCTGGGGGTTGCCCAACCAGAGCTCACAGCACCGACTGGAGCGTGGCAGCTCGGGCGCAAGGGGATGGGTGGTGCGGCAGTGCTGGAGAGTGCACTGCCACCAGCAGCCACCTCCAGCCCCGGCGAGGGCCAGGCAGCGTGGAGAGGTGGCAGCACAGAGGGTCGGTGGTGGGACCCCCCGGCTCAGGCTGGGCGGCCGCGGGAGCCCGGCCGTGCCCCACTGCGGGCTGACCCCGGCTTCACCTGTCGGGATCATTCACGCCCCGAGAGCGCCGGGGCTCGCCCGGCCCTGCCGGCGGCCGCATCTCCTTGTACAGTAAAAAGAGCAGGAGCTCCGGAGCGGCCAGGAGCCGGCTCAGGAATGTCGCTTGCGTTCCCGGGCGGCAGCCCCCAGGGCCACGTGCCCTCCGCGACCGGCGCTGCCCCCCACCCTGTCCCCCTCACCCGGGGCTCTTTGGCCCCGGGGAGAACCGGCCCCGAGCGGCGCCGGCAGAGCCCGGAAGGTGGCTGGGGCCGGGCACCGTCACCTCCCCGAGCGGACCCTCCGTCCTGCCCTGTACGTGGGGAAACCGAGCACGGAGGGGACCAAGCACAGAGCATGGCACCAACAAAGGCCGGGACCACCATCACCACCACTCTTCTGTCCCCATCCAGGTGCAGGATGTGGCCCCAGTTGGGCCGTGGCCATTTGGGTCTGGTCCCCGTTTGGGACTCGCTCCCACTGCCATCCCGGTAGGTGCCAAGAGCCGAGGCCACTGAGGGGTCCCTGGCCACCTCCTGCACAGGGCAGGGAGCACCGTCCCCGTCCCCAACCCCTCTCCCATCGCAGCCTCTCCCCAGCACAGCCTCGTGCCTGGAAGCCGCCCCCGAAGCCGGGGCTGCCGCTATCGCCATCCATTCCCAACTAAAAATAACCCTCCCGGCCGAGGGCCCCACGGCCCCGCGCACCCAGACAGCCCGTCCGGACCCCGACCCCCACCCCCAGGTCCCCCCAGAGCCCCCGTACCTGGCGGGGGCTGCGGGCGCGGGGGGCTGTCGGCCCTCGCCGGCACCGGGCTCCGCGAGAGAGCGACAGCGGCGTGCGGGGAGCGGCGGAGGGTCAGCGCACGCCTCCCCCGCCCCCGCCGCGGTGGCAGCTGAGGTGACACATGTCACTGCTAAAAATACCCGCGGCGGTGGCACCGGGGCCGCGACTGGGGAGAGGCAGTGGCACAGCGGGGCTCCCCTGTTCCTTGGCCTCTGCACCGGCTGGGACACACGTGTGCCACCCGTGCCTTCCCTGGCACGCGTGTCACCCGTGTCCTCCCTGACACGCAGTTTGTGCCTTCCCTGGTGCACACTTTTGCAACCCACAGAAGTGGGAGAACCTCTGTGGCTTGGCATGAGCCCACCCGGGGTGCTCTGCTGCTGCAGGAGTGGACCCCAGGGTGATCCCCAAGATCAATGGCTCAGAGCTCCAGCACGGGGCTCCCCAGAGCACCCCAGTTCTCCCCACCAGTCCCCACCCTGAGATGGGGCTGAGCTGCAGAGGGACCTGAGAGAAGAGCTCAAAATAGCCCCTGGCACTAACACCAGCATGGTCAGCACCCAAACAAGGCAGGTGGGAGGGGGTCAGCAGAGTGGACATGTGGTGACCACACAGGACAGAGTGTGACCCCCAGTCAGGGTGCAGAGCCCTGGCTCAGGCCAAGTCCAGCTGCAGAAGTGTAACTCCCCCTCAGCCACTCAACATCTGACCTGAGAAGGTCCACAGACATGCCCAGGGCATCAGCTGGAAAAGCTCTGTTAATGAGAAAGGAAATGGGATTGTCAGTCTGGACTCACCTGGCAGGACTGACCTGGCAGGAAACTAAGGGTTGCTCCAAGCATCTCACCAGCCCCAATTACACCCAGGAACGGCAGGAGGACACGCGGTTTTGAATGGTCTGTCACATGGTCCTGGATGGCAGTGCAGCCATGGGGCAGCCTGTCTGCTCCTGGGGGTCCCTCCAGCACTGGTGGAAAGCCACCACTGGTCACCCATCACCCACCTCCCAGTCCCTGCCAGGGATCCCTGACACAGGGCTGAGGATCACCCCAGGGCCCTGCTGGCACAGCGAGCACCGTCCCACCATCAGGACACAACCAGCATGCCCCTAGGCAGGGGAAATGGGGATAAACACCGTGTGCAGGAATGGGGGTGAGCAAACGGACTTACCTGTGTGCGGGGCAGCCGGGGTGATGGGGCACGGGGGTCAGTCCAGCAGTGCCCTGTGAGCAGCTGCCCAGTCTGGCACAGCCGTCCCAGTCCAGCGGGAAGGGGCAGGTGACACTGAAAGAACCAGGCACCAGCACACACGCAAAGGACGGTTTTTATTGGGGTCTGGTCGTAGGAGAGCAGTTGTACTGACCAACACACAGAAGCAGCTTAGCTGTGCCAAAATAATCCGTTAAAAAAATACTGGCGGAAAGAACCGAGTGTGGCACATCCACCACGACGGGCGAGGGCTGTAAACTCCGAGGACAGTCCGTGAGGAGCCCGAGGGACGTGCCACAGCTCACCTGGCACAGGGACCCTCCTCCCCACAATAAATATGGAAAGAGCCAAGTACATAAAACAAGGAATGATCTCATCGATACAATAT